TGTCCATGATACGTCAATTCTTTTTAAAGCACTCTGTAAGTAAGTGAAATAATGTACTGTACTGGTTTGTACAAGGATTTTGGTTTCATCACATGATGTCACTGATGAACAATCTAATTTCCACCTGGGGGAAAAATAGTTGTTTTGTTGTTTTTTTGTTAATGGCACAGGTAATAGTCACGTGTACAAGTTAAAACAGGCTCCAGGACTCTGAAAAGAGCAACGTGCGTATTTTAGTGTTTACTGCTGTCTTCTGTGTTCAGACTCAAGTCCTATTAATGACGTTTGCCAGATTCAGGACATTCTGCATCTTTTCTAAGAGGAGAAAACTTGAAGCCGCAGACATGTCACTTTATGTGGGATGGAATAATAAAATGTCATCAGGGAAATGTGGATAAAAAAATTAATCAGAAGAGGTGACAAAAACTTCAAATCATCTGCTCATATATAAATACATACAAATTATTATAAACAGTATAATAATATTAAATAATATTATTAAATAAATACATATCTATGGGTATGTATATGTATATAATTACATGTATACATATATGTATGCATATATTGGTGAATTTTATGTAACCTCGTCTTATGAAGTTTTTTTACCATGTTTCCCCAAATAAAATTGTATTATTCCATCCTATTCATATATACTGCATGCCACTGTTGATTAACTGACCAGCTTCTGGGCCCTTGTTGAGCTTGTTCATGAAGGTGAGTGGGTGCTGGACAATGTCCAGGATGGCAAGCAAGGTACGTGTTAACCGCAGCAGCTCACTGAAGCTGTAGAAGCCAAAGTAAACCAGATTACGAGCCAGATTCACAACCTGACGAAAAGAAGCAAAGAATGATAAGGATGATAAACCCTACAGTATATTAGGAAATATTAGGAAAACAATAACATCAGCACCATCTTTTACCTCTAATGTCAGTTCATTCTTGTCCTTATCACCAAATGGGAAATGTTGGCTGACTACATCTTTGAGGTATTCTTCTACAAACTCCATAGTGGGGGCAAACTTTCTCTTCATCTCCTCTCTTGAGCTGTCAGTGGACTCGTACTCAAAGCTGAAAAAACAAACAACAACAACAGCTACTACCAAACGTGTCCGACAAAGTAAAAACAGCCCACATGCTGCACATTGAGACTCACTCATGCTTGCTGATCTCGGAGGGGATCTCAGTCCACAGACGAGCATAGCGTACAGGCACCACAGCTTCCTGTGGGTCACGGTCCACATGCATATGCAGCATCAGGCGACAAAAGGATGCTCTGAGGTTGTAGGGAAGGCAGTCGTCGAACATGCAGCGAAGGATGAGATCCACGGGCAGCTGACAGGAGATCTGGTTGATGGCGAGGTACTGACGGTCCAGGCACATTTTTGCAAAAAGGTTCAACTGGTACCTGCAGGGAAAATGAGTGACATGAGGAGGTGTTCATTGACCACCCCATACTACTTAACAACGTAACAACCATAACCAGCTGTGCACTGGTCGCCAGTGCTAGGTGTTTTCCTATTGCAGTTCAGTTTCCTTTCTGTTCCGATCTGTGTAACTCACCTGGGTATAAAACACTTCAGGATGTCACTTAGACATAACACAGATTACCAAAACGTCTCTCTTCAGTTTTATGTCAACTTCTTTTACTAACCCTGTGGTTGTTATTGTGTTTTTAACATTAGCATCGTGCTATACAGTTTAAATTACTTACTTTAAATGGAACCAGGAGACAGTGTTGGTAACTGGAATGTGCTTTTGATATAAAAGCTCTGCTCACTTTCTGTTGAGCCAGTTGTGCTAAATAGGCATGTACACAATAGGGCAATTAGGTTAGCCCCCTGTGGAGCCACCAGGGGGAGCTAAGGGGGCTCAGAAAATGTAAGAAAGAAAAAAATGAATTATTTAATTTTCCCTCATAGTTGAGTCAACTAAGTAACTGTTCACTTGTTGTTTATTGAAACTCAACCTAAATAAGTATTAGTGATGGTACCTTGTAAAAAGAAATACTCATCAAGCCTAGCTCAGCAGAGAATTAAATCACTAATTCAGTTGGAGGATGATGTGCTCTACACAGATTTGTACTCTTTACTACGTACCCAGAATAACCTGTGTCTTTGGCACTTCATTTAATCTAAGACTGTCATTTGTCCAAATGTAGTTTTAGTTTGTTACACATTAATATATATGTTTTACTCGCTGTATCCTATCATATGACCTGCCGTCACCTGTAGTAGGTAACAATGTCTACATCCATCTTGTGGTTCCCTTTGGCATCCTGGGCTAAGTGACGGATAGATTTGCCATGAGGCTCCTTATTGCTGTCAATCCAGTAGAGCCAGACCTCTTCCTCCTCCACCTCCTCCTGTAGCAGTGAGGTCTCAAGTGTGTTCTCAGTGTTAGAGATGAGTCTAGGGGGTTAAGAAAAGAGGTCGCCAAGTAAGACACCATGGCAGTTGAAAAGCAAACTTAGTAAAGAAAAACATTTGCTTCTTCTTCTGGACAGGGTGTAATTTTCCAAAGATGCTGAAGTCAGAAAGAGGCAGTAAACTGTGGAGAGTGTATGCGTGTTTAAACATGCTGTAGAAATGAGGGTGTGACTCACTTGGTCTGGATGAGGATATCTGCATTTGTTGGGTTGAGCATAAATTTGCAGATCAGCTCCTGTGTTACAGGAATGGCAGTCTTGTTGGATACACAGAGATCAGAGAGATAATCCAGGAATCTGGAGGAACAGACCACACACGAATCTCCAGGCCTTAGAACACAGTAACTCACAGTGTACACAGGAAGGCATTTGGTGAATTTTGGGTTGTATGCCATTAGTTTTCTAAGTTAACTTGGTCTAATGATGAGCGGGACTTGACGCAGTCTGACCTGGGCTCCCTGTTGCGCCTCAGCAGACTCACAAACGTCTCAATCTCGTTGGCTGTGATGTGTTTTTCCAGCAGCTTGCGGTTGTTGTGGAGAAGGGCAGTGATGGTGTCCTCAGCCAGGATCTCATACCCAATTTGAGACTGCATGATCGAAAACTTTTTGGCTATGTACTCCTGGGTGAAACAAGATGTAGAGAATGGTTTTGAATACACAGTAAAATGTTTTACTCGTTAACTTCCACAGATTGAAGTGAGCTAGATTAGGGTTAGTTGTAGTTTTGTGAGTATACTTGCATAGTCCATACATATTGTTACAATAGATTTGGGTGACATTTCACCTCTTCTTTCCTTTACAAAATTGCTGTGCCAAAAAAAAGTCTTGTAGATTACTACTCAGGACCACATCATTTTATGTTTAAACAACACAGATATTTATCTGTGACACTAAAGGGCAGCTTTACAGTATGACTTAAAAACAATAATTAGACCAGCAAAGATTGCACAGGTAATAATGATTAAATTCATTAATAATTTACATACATTTCTAAAACATTTTCTTCCAAGCTGTTTAATTATTACACTGGAGTGTGTACATCATTGAAGCATGGCACTTCTATATTTCATAAATGTTTAGGTTTGACAACATCGCGTCCTTCTGTTAATGACTGCATCACAGATCTGCTGATAAACCTAACAATCATTGATGCTTGTACATTAAAAATGAAACATGCCTGGTTCTTGCGATAGTCCTGCTGAGAGTGCCGCAATACTCTGTAGCATAGTCTAAACATGTACTTGAAGTGAGAGTAGCGCTGGTCTCCTAAATCCTCCAGTCTTAGCATTGGACCATCTTCATGATCAGTAAACGGTGCCTTGAGGATGCCAAAAATCTGCAGGAGCAGACAGAGAAATGAGGATTTATGGCATAAGCATGAATCCCTGGCAGAAAAGAAATCATATTTGATGTTTCTTGGAGATATCATTCAGACAGCAACAGCCAACCTGAGCAAGGATGTTCTGCTCCCTCATGAGCTTCTGCCTCTCTCTGTTTGGCGTGGAGGTGACCACAGATAGAACATCCTGTCCGTTGTTGGGTACCACACACACAAAGAAGACCAGGTCCTCCAGCAGCTTTGTCACAAATCTAATATATAACGTACATGAAGCAAAGAATAAATCAATCTATCCCAAAAATCTTCACCACTCCCCAGTATGACTTCACACTGAACCTGTGTCTTCACCTCCTCTCATTCTGAGCAATGTTGCCATACAGCAGCTTTCTCACAGTGGACTCCAAAACCTTGCTGGCATCATTGGCAAAATCCAAGTCTCTGACCTCAGACAGTGGAACAGACACAATGGCAAAAGCTTCTTTGTCTTCTTTAGTAGGGCAGGTGCCAATCTAGAGTGGTGTGAACATATATTTTACATTTTAAATCCTGTATCTGAGCAGGTCTGTGGATTCATTAATCAGTGAGGCCCATACACTCTACACAACCAAAAAGTCACACAATGGATGTGTACAGTTGCATCTTATAAATTACCATCTACAATGTCAAGACAATTACTTCAGTCTGGAGCGGAATAATTGATTACAGTTTTGCTATGAGGATATGATAGTGTTTAATATGTGTATATTAAAAAGGTCAAAGGGACTTGTGGTAATCTTAACTGATTTGAGTGCAGAAACCTCGGAGCAATTTGATCATTGACCTAAACATCAGGTCACTGTTCACAGGAAGACAATAAACCTGGACTCATCAGACCACAGGTCTTATTAACACTGATCCAGAGTCAAATCTTTATGCCTCAGTGATAAATGGCTTTTGAAGGTGTGTGCACTAAGACCTTCAGCATTACAGGACGCTCCTCTTCTGCATCGATGGATACATTAGTGCTGGTGACCCAGGTGTTGGTGCACAGGTGCCGAAGTCGCACATATGAGTTCCTGGGGGGGAGTGTAAGAAGAAATTATTTACACAAGTTATTAAGTTCTATTTTGGAAAAGTGAAGAAAAACAAAACAAGATTGTTTTGGCCAATCCAACTGCAATATGCATAAACTAGAATTACACACTAAAACATGGGAAAACAATTTCTAACCTGACTTATAATGACAATCTGAGTCACTTCAACCAAGGAGAGAAGATCATGAATAGAACTTTTTGTTTTGTCCTTTCTGTTCTGAGCTGTGTAACTCACCTGGGTACCAGACAGTCGGCCCGCTGCAGAGTGGTGGCATCCAGCTCAAACAGAGAGGCAATGTCATTCCCATGGGGAACAGACACCAGGGTGAAGGTTATCTTCTCTGCTGCTTGATGCTTCCTCTTGGAGAACACGGTGTCTGTCTCATTCTAATGACGTGCACACACACAACAGAGAGTAAAAGTGCAAATTAATGTCAACAATGCAGATATGGCCAAAAAGGTCCGTTGTGTCATCATTGCTAAAGATTCAATTCAGCGAAAATCTACAGTACGGTGGTAGTATCTTCTACCACTTCATGGTCGTGAGGGGAGTCTGAGCAAATCCCAGAGGCAATCTGGGGAGGGCGGTTCACCCGTTCTTCATATTTACAAACAGGTTCTCAGTCATCCAGGTCATTTTATCTGAAGGAGTTAACAATAAGTCTCCTGGGTGGAGGTGACACATCTTGTAGAAACCAAGACGCTCCAGGTACCTTTTACTAAACTGCTTTAGACTCAAGGAAAAAATGCAAACTCATCTAATCCCCCTTCAAAACAAACAGGGATTGAACCAGTGACCTTTTTGCTGTAAGGCCAGAGCACTAACCCCATGTGGTCCCACAATGACAATTCTGTTTTTGTTTTTTTGTGACCTTGATTCAGACATTGGAGGTTGCTGCTCCAAAAATGTGCAAAGAATTTGACTCTAGTCATACTCTCTAATTCCAGTGCATCACCTACTGTAATGGCTGTGGTTAATTTTCTCAAAGGACAGGTCACGGGAGTTGCATCCTCCCCTCACCTCCTCTGTCCCACAGACAGGTAGAGCAGAGAATACATCTGCTTCCTCTTCCCTTGCAGGGCACCCCCACACCCAGATGTTATGCAACAAGCCTCCAGTGTGTCTGAAATTCTGAGCTAGGAAAGTGTGTGGCGCAAAACAGGGTTTGTTGCCAGAATACAAATGTGCAAGGTATCTAAGAGCAGAGAGAGTCTTCTGGATATAGATTCAGTGTTTGGCAGAGCGGATGTGTGAGTCTGAGTCTGTGTCTGTGCCTGTACGTGCTAGAAAAGGGAAGAGATAGAACAAGATGTAATGAACGAGGGATAAACAAGCTGCGGGAATAAACAAACTGCATCACTGCTTTAAAAAAAAGATGTTAAAATTCAACTGGGTTTTCTTGAGTGACTCACCTCTCCTTTAGACTCCACTGTGTTTTCTTTGAATTCTGGATTTACCTGTAGAGATCATTTGAGCATTAGATCTTAGTCTTTCTAGTCTTTCTGTTGTAAATGTCTCTGCCATTCAAATCCAAACTTTTTGTACAGCAGTAGATGGGTGATAGTGGGCATATCAACACTGCCACCTACAGCACATCATCTAAAGTTTAAGTCAAGTGTGATGATTCAGACACTGAAAGTCTATTTTTCTGTGTCCGTAAAACAATGAGATGCATCGATAAAAGCCCGTTCGTGAGTCGTACCTCAGCTGCCAGATAATTTCCTGTTGCAAGGTGTTTAAAGCGGAATAGACTGTTCCACTGGCCCGCTCCTCCTCTGCAGGGGTCATAGTGCACGACCTATAAAGGATGACATAATATTAAATTACACTTAGAGACAGAATCAGGATTTGCACATAAACATAGACACGAGGAAGAGGTTCACCAGCTGAGGACAAGGCAAACATTTTTGTGGGCTCTGAAGTAGCCTTGAAGTAACTCAGAGTCAGAGTCAAGAATCAAAGAGTGAGTGACACCTGAACAGAAAGATGAGGTCAGGTTATTGAATTATTTTGTTGTTGCCCAATGTGTGAATTAAAACACAAAATCATGTAGAGGGGGTCTTCCACTTAGGTCGGAGTCTAGATATTACTGGCAAAATACCTTTTGACCCTAAGTCAAACTTACATACAATTACATTATGGTCTGACAAAGGCGTCAATTTTTTATACTCAGTGCTAAACCAGTGGTGGTTTAGTGGTTAAGGAAGCAGACTTGGGTCCCCACACAAAGCTGCCCACTGTTCACTTTGGTGATGGGTTAAATGCAGAGGTCACACTTCATTGTGTGCAGTGGTGTTTGTCAGAATGACAAGGAGGACTTCACTTTTCTTTCCTAAAACACAGAGAGCACTGAGTATATCTAATTTCACTTCCATGGAGATGGCTTTCTTCGAGGCACTGCCATCAGAAGTCTGATTTATGCTTGAGAGCCATAATGAAGGACCGAAAAATACAGCGTACAACTGGCAAATATAAACAAAGCTGTATTCCTTGTGAACAAAACTTTATTAGTAAATGTATATGTAAAACTTATGTACTTTTGTAATATACGGCTGCTTTTTACTTTCTTTCCTTTCAAAGATTTACAGTTTATCTAATGAACCATAATTGATGCCTTTTTATAAGAAGAGAGGTACATAGAGGTACTTTTTTTTTTTTTTTTTTTTTTTACCTCAAAGTCCCACAGAGCCTTGGAGCTGGTGGCAGATGTAGCCGACTGCCTCAGTGTGGTCCTGAGAAAGACATGCTGCTGCTTCCTGTACTCGTCACAGGTGAGAAACTTCTCCTGCTCAGCATGAAACAGCCTCACCACGTCACCCTGCCGGAGCACACAGAACATGACACTGCTGCACAACTTCAGTGTGGTGTTAAACTGTTTTCAGACTTGATTCAAGAACATCTACAATAAAAAAATGAAAAAAATAAAAAAAGTACCCCTTTGAGAATATCTTCTTTGTAGTCACTAAACTTCATGAACAACGTGACCTTCCAGCTGGTGTTACAGTTGACTGCGTTAACCTGCAGGAGAGAAACAACACGTTATAATTATATTCCTAATTCAAAAGCAGCGGTTGCTCTATTAGCTTCAGTCGCTCTTTGAAAAGTCAGACTATTTTTTCAACATTTCCTACTCGGAGATCAGCTGGGTGACCTGCACTAATGAAGCAATCACATATGCACTCAACTGACCGCACCAGGTGTGAAAACACCTTCAGATGATTAAATGAATTAATTCATCCTACCTCTTTGCAGCCAGGGTTGTCCAGCAGCTCAATGTTACTGGCGTGAAGCGGCTGCCCTGCGTTCACCGGCATTAACACCACTTTGTCCCCGACCACAACCTTGAACCGAATCAAAGACAGTCATCACAACAGAAAGTACTGATTAGGAAACTTCTAGCAGCGTCCAGATGAATTAATCAAAATAAAAAACAGATCAAAAGAGTGCACCCATGCAGGGGTTTCGTCTCAGGTCTGGAAACATCCACAAAAAAAAAAAAAGAAAAAGAAAAGTAGGTTCACATGAGCTGTTTAATTCATATCATGGTGAGCAGCATGAGAGCATTCACACAGTCATAGAAAAATACTTCATATGTAATTGTGGAACTGCTTCATTGCAGTACATGCGCAGTCGAATAATGACGTAGACAGTAATACGGCAATGCAATTTCATTGAGCTATGACGCTGTTGTTGTTGAAATATTTTTGTAAACTGTAGAGAGAAGAGTACTTTCAAAAAATGTTCCAACAAGAGCAAAAGTAATGGGTCACTTATTATTTCTAAGCTAAAGCTAAATATCCACATGCAACAGAAGGACCAGTGCACCCATGCATTATCAGGATGAGGTCAGTCAGGCCTAATAATGCACAAACATCATGCACAATCAAGAGCAATACCTTTAACCATAGGATGCTAAAGCCAAAGGGAAGGAGAAAATTAGAAATGTTAATGAATCTGGACAAACAATGGACAAATGACAGTGTAAACGGAGACATTTCGAAAGTTTTTCGACTGATCTGACTGACTGTGGCTGCGACTGAAGGGGAACTTACATTGTCGCCCTCACTCCTGAGCTTCCAGAAAGGCTGGATGTAGAACCAGGATCCCTCATTGCCAGCGGGGTCTAAAGAAACACGCATGGCATTCTTCTCCAGCAAAGCAGGAAGACGCTTGTTCACAGTCAGGTATTTATTACTCTTAATGTGAAGCAGCTAGGAAGGAAGGGTCTCAGGGTTAGGAAAATATATGCATTTTAGACGTACATCAGGCGTCAACAACTGTATTTGTCGGAGGGCCAGAATTTTTCTAGACTGACACCTTAGAGGAAGGACACTCAAATAACAAAAAATGAAAAAAATGAAATAAAAATCACATATTTGTGTAACATTATTGGGGATTGCTCGATACAGTTTTTTCATGTCCAATACTGCAAGTTGGAGTACTTGCCAATATTTCGGATGCAATTATATATATATATATATATATATATATATATATATATATATATATATATGAGATACAGTTTATGTAGGAAGAATGTTTGTGATATAGTACAGCCGTCGCAGCTGAGCTGTGTAAAATGAAGCAAAACTCTTATTTCATGATGAATGTTAACAATGGTGATAAGTGTTGTAACAGCTGATAAGAATCAAAAAATGTGTTTGGAAGATAGAGATACTAACACACTGGTATGTGGACAAGGGAGGTGTTCTACATAAACATTTCAATGGATCATATTACTTTACTGTAAAAATGTTCATCAAACTGCTGTTCTGTTACTTTCTTATTGTTTGATACCATCTATAGATACAAAATAAATATCATATATATGACACCACCAGGCTGTACAGGTTGGATGATGGACAAATTTAATGTCATGATTAAATTTAAATTATATAGTTTATACATTATATAAACAATAATGTCTTCATGTACTATTATGGTGCTGCTTTTGGAAGATTCTGAATCTCAATGAGCTAATTCCTCATAAATTAAGTAAAAGTGAATTATTTGTCATTGTGACACAGCACACCACTGCACACACAACCAAATGTGACCTCTGTTTTTAACCATCACCAAAGTGAACAGTGGGCAGCTTATAAGCTGCCCGGGGAGCAGTGTGTGGGGACGGTGCCACGCTCAGGGCACCTCAGTGGTAACTTGGCAGCTGGAGGACTCAAACCAGGAGCCTTCCGGACCTAAGTCCACTTCCTTAACCACTAAGCCACCACTGCCACTTTTTTTTTTAAGAATTAATTAAAAGCGTAAATCTGTAAAACCCATCACTACAATTAAAACTTTTTTTTTAAATGCCTAAAGTGTCACACAACAGAGATTACATAAATAAACAGGGACAAAGCTCTGCCCCGGGGAGAGCGTGACACTGCTGGTGTTTGCTGTAGAGCTGCTCTGTACCTGAATGACACTACTGTATTTGACCACCTCCCCCAGGAGTTTCTTGTTCTCCGATTCGTTCTGGGTCTGCTCCAGTTCTGCTGCATGCTGGTTTTGGCAAAGAGTTGAATTAGAATGAAATTTTAACTTAGGATTTAAGAAGAAGAAAAAAATGTAAAAGAGACAACCTGTAGCTTTTTGAACAGATCTCCCTGGGTGTTGTTGTTTCCTTGTTTTCCTTGTTTGGCCTTCCAGAACTGTTTCTGTGCTGAATATCTGTTCATGGGACACACTTTGAAGAGGCAGTCTGTTTGAAAAAAGAAATTGCATTTTACACACACATTCTGTGAGTCAGTCAGATTTAACATAAAAAGGTTTCCTTATTTTGTAAATGACCATTTTGATGTTGATCGGTTTGTTTGTTTTTAACCCACCAGACATATGTGTAGCCAATAAAAACCATGAACAAACCACAGTGTTGTGTTAAATAACACTGAACTCATTGGTTAGCCTTGACACTTGACACTGTGTGTACTCACGTTGTTGCCTCTTGAGGGGCCGTTCAGCAGTACTATGTACATTTATTATTGCATTAGAGCCTCAAGATATGAGCTTCCCGAAATATGAGTTTCTCAAGTTACGAGACAGCATCATTTGCAAGATTTTCCTCGTGATACGAAGAAACATTGAGTTACGACTGCTCAACCGAGCTCACTGTCCCTTGCTGGATGTTTCTTTTTTTTTTTCTGCCATGTCACATGTTTTTGATTAGAAAAATCCCACGGCACACCACCACAAAGAAAGATACACACATGGAAACGCACTCCTTCAACTAAGATTTTATATTCATCTGCTGGCACCTTGTGGAAGAGTATCCAATCATTCTGCATGTTACTGTCGTTAACAAATGCAAATTTTTTGCAGTAGATATATTGTAATTTTCAGACCAATTAATTAATTGATTGGATCATTTCCAACGGCACACCACAGGATCTTGAGTGACCATGAGAAAACAATTTAAAATAAATTATCTACTATTTATTCTCCAAATAATTCATTTTTGTATGACGTTTATTGAAGTCATTATAAAATACCTTTTAAATTATTAAAATATAACAGCACACTGCACATATGCAATGCCAGCTTTTCTATTCAAAAGAAAAGGGACAAAACAGAGCTAACTATTTCCACCATGTAACCTCCACTCTCTTCTTACATTTAAGCTAGCTGCAAAACGCTAATAGAGTCGGTTCCTGGAATTTCCTGTTATAAAGCAAAAGAGCTAACCACACGTCCACCGTTGAGTACAAGAGGATACAGCTATAAAACATTCATTCATACATTCCTAAATTTCCATGAAGGTAACTCCCGAGGGATTAATAAAGTGCTATCTATCTATCTACCAGATATCATGGTAACTTAAATTGGCTGTATTTTAACAGTACATTTCCGTCTGCACCTGTTGTGTTGGGCAGGTTACTTTTAAAAAGTAGTTAGTTATGGTTACAAGTTGGTTTTCCCAAAAAAGTGACTGAATTAGTAACACTATAAAAGTAACTAGTTATCCCAACCAGGAAAAGTACCTACGGCATTACTAAAAAAAAAGTTTAAAAATGTCTAAGAATTTGAATTTCTGTGTTTTTTTACAAGCTAGAACTACATCGACAGATACACGTGTTTGTGCAACTGAACATTTGTTTTTGTCTTTTAATAGTTGTAGTGAATGTGCTTTTACACACCTCTGAACTTTTTAGGTGGGTTCGTCAGGTCCCCGGCATCAGGCTGTACCACACATCTGTCATCGACAAGCCTGTAGATAAATCACATGTTTATTAAGAAAATGCACTTAAAATAAGAGTCCACAAATGCAAAATATAACTATACGTCTCTCTATAAAAACAATATTTAGTGTGCTTTGATGATACACAGCTAAACCCAGTAGAATAGGGCTTACATTTGTGTTACGTTGTTGTGTTTTCTATATAATTTTACTGCTGAGCATGTGCCTTCATTTAAATGAGACACTAGATGCTGTCAAATTTCAGAATTTCAAAATACCTCTTTAAGACACAGTGATAGCGGGACACGGAGTGACAGTTAACTGGCCACCTGCAGGATAAAAAGCTTAGCTGGTAGCACAATGAAGAGGCTCTGTTTTGCATCTCATTTAAGAGCTCTTGTCTAAGTGAAAGGGGATTTCACCCATACATCCAGACCACAGACTGCAGGCCCCTTCCTTTAAAGTCTTTTTAAATTGTCATTATATGTAAAGCAATTTAAAAGAAATTTCATAACATAATAATCATAACATTTATTTAACAATAAATAAAATAAATGCAAACATTAGGCTGTACATGTTAATATTTTGAACCAAGGACAAAAGCCAACTAGTTTTGTGGTTCATTAATGAATATTTCATTTATTAAAATGTTAATGAATTAACCTAGTCTATCAAAGATTTTAAAAGAAGTGATTAAGATAAGATTACATTAATTTGAACTTTATTATTTATTGATGCCACACTGGGGATACAGGGACAAAGGGACAAAGGTAAAAAAACTAAAGATTGAAAACAAGATAATAGAAAATGAAAAAATGATAATACAATTTTTGGAAGAAAAAAATATTTAAAAACATTAAATTACTAGACATTTGGGAAATGAGTGCACTTTGTACCAGACTCAAAATGAAACTGTTTTATATTTTTCACATTTACGTAGTGGATTTTTAAGCTCTCTGGAACTCAGGGGAAAAAAAGTCAAAATTTAATCTTAATTTATTCGTTAACTGCCTGCTTTTGTTATCACAGCAAAAATCGTAGTCATCTCTGAGGTACAAGATTTAAAATTTGTAGTAATAAAATAAAGCCTAGTGTACTTAAGTACCTAGGCAGTGAGGAAAGCACAGAGTTCAGCAGACAGCTGCCAAAAGAGGAAACTGAGGTTTCTGTGCCTGGCTGATTATAGGGAATTAGAACTGTCTTTGTTACAGACATCTAGGCCTGGAATCAAATACTTTGTGGAGCAATCTTCTCACTATGTCATTGTTGGATAGATATTCAGGTTAAAAAAGGTCAGTAACTAAAACGTACACGAAGCAATAACAAATCTGATCGTAAATCGACAGTGAAAAGTTGACAGGTAGACCTAATTGTTGCAATCAAATATAATGTTTTTTCCACTCATTATTATTCTTTTTGAAATGTTGATTTAAAACACACACAATGTTATCACAATCTCTGTATTATTGAGCTTCCACGAAAATGAATCAAGTTCAAATAAGATGCAGCATTTAAAAAAAAATATGTGAGTTGGTGCTGGAAAATAAAATGTCACTCTGTGCACTGATCTAGCTGCTCCGTATTTGCAACACGGTGTTAAAAACATGAGCAAAAACTAATTTCAGAAAAAAAAAAAAAAGATTTGTGATTTCAAAATGGCGTCAAAAGCCAAAATTGAAATTGACTTGACTTCTGACGTGCTGTGCACGTTAAGCTGGTTGATTGTATTCAGCCAATACCTGTAGCTAAACAGCTACTAAGCAAAGCAAACAGATTGTTGTTATCTTCATGTCTAGTTCAGTTCAGATAAGAATTAAAGCTGTAGTGACTCTTTGTTGGCTTAGAACCCTTGGTTACAAATAGGTTCACACAATGTCGTAAAGGTTATTACATTGACATTCCCGGTGAGCCTTCTGCTGATTTACACTTTTTTTAGTTAAGTGTATTGCACAGAGAAAACGAACAGTCAACAAAAATGTAGGAGTGGATTTCACTGCATAGGAAATTACATTTTCTGTTCAGGCAGTTTAATGTTTCCTGACCAGGGCCATGTAAACACACACACACACACACCAATCATCCTCAGTCACGTCTGACAGTACTGTTTGATTGAGACCATTCATGTTAAAAATATTCATTCATTTAGGAAGAGATTATCATAAGATTTTAGACATACATTTTTTTATTCACAAAGAGAAAGAAGTAAAATCTGGTTCAACATTCATTTATAATACATTTCCCCAAAAAGCAGGACAGGGAACAGAGAAACGACTACTGTAACTCTGTGCATATAGTTGTAATAAAGTGACAAAATTGCCATCATGAAATTGTAGGTAATTCCTGCTAATTGCAAAAATAAAAATATGCATCTGTTTAAATTTGCCGGTTCTTAATAAAAGGTGTCCTCAGTTTATGACGCCCTCGACTGCATTTCGTGGTTTCGTTGCCATCTCCCATAAATTATTAAGAAAGTCTTGTTCCATCATTCACTCACACAGTGTTAAAACACATTTGGGAACAGATGAATACGTCATTATGTAGCACTATACGCAGAAAGCTTTGTTTTTACTCGTGTCACGTAGGCGTTCTTTCATTTGTGTTTTTTGGGAAATGTTTTGCCCTTTCATTATGGCTCCAAAACATAAATCAGACTTAACTTATGATGTTAAATAATCCCTATAAAAAGTTATACCCACTAAATCCATTTTCCTTTTCATTCATCTTCTGCAAAAAAAAAAAAAAAATGAAATTGCATAACAAGAACAATTCTTCCAATTCATTCCAAGTTGGCAACTGTGTCTAACTGAGCTGACCGGTTTGGCATTCAGTTATTGAATTGTTCATTATTTTCTAATTTACTCCTTATGCTTCCACACTTCAGTGAATGAGGATGTATATTACTTCCTCCAACGGCGTATCAGGGTTACATCCAAATGAGAAACAATTGACTCCAACAGGAAGCATTATCAAGTGCTAAATGGCTAAACAGGAAGAGCTGCTGGAAAAGGCATCCAGGCTCTTAAATAAGTAATCTCGTGTCCGCAGAGGAACTGAGGTCAGTTCAGACAGAGCGGCTTTGACGGAGCCTGTCACAGCGCATGCAAGAGTTTTCTGTTTAACTGAGTTAAACATGAACCAAAGATAAATTCACGAGGCAGGACACAGACAAGTTAATTATAGCTGCAACACTTGTGTGGACTCAACTGTGACGACAACGCAGAAAAGGGGGACAGAATGTGGACCAAACGGGAACAAAGTGAATAATTAAAATGAGTAAATGTAGGGTAACATTTTCTGACAAATGACTCTGCTGGTGCATGTTTTGACCTGTGGACAAACACCCACGTGTCTGTCTGAGTCACACACTAGTGTAACACCCAGTATTTGATCATATTTGTTTGCAACAGTATTTGCTATGACAATTTTCTAGATAAATAAAATATCTCTACATACATTGAACATCAATTGATATAAGCAACACCCCTGAAGTGCCATTATTAAGTTTAATTTATGCATTTATTGTGGGTAGCAGCAATGTGGAAGGAAGTACTAAACTGAGGATGTCAATTTCAAAAAGCCAGTCCTCCTTTATCAGGGAAATAAACACAAGGCATTTATAACACATACTGTAAGGAACAGCAAATGTGATTTGCCTTTATACCTTCCTGTTGTACTTTCCCTTTTAATAACTAAAAGTATAATATTCAAATATTGGCAAAGACAAGTTAACACAAGTAAATAAAGTAATCGATGAAGCGCACTTTAAGAATACTTAAAACACGTACTAGTAAATTAAGTATAAAATACGATGGTACAATATTAAAAGAATATAAAATAAAATATATGTATGTATTAGTTATTGTTAACCATGATGTCTTGCACGACAAAGACTACTTCGTTTTTTCTGTTTTTGTTGGTCATAATTCACTGATAAGTTGGTCTTGAGTCACTTGGCGTGAATTGCAGGTGGTTAAGGATATTCTTCAAATTAGTGGTGCAGACATCACTGAGCAGTAAAACGTCTACTACTAATACCACTACTCCTAATTAAAACAAATAAGTCTTAAAAACACAATTGACTAATTACTGCTGTGGAGTCCAGATAGGAAGTTATTTGTTATTTTGTATTAATTATATTCTGAGCCATTTTTAAAATAAAAACGATGGTCAAACCGGTTAGCAAAATTAGCTTTACATTTTTTAGGACAGGTCCCCAAACATTACAATGCCGAGGTCCCCAAAGCAGCATTAGCTTCTGGCTGGGAATCCCCTTTGCAAACCCACAGTCTATGTTACAAAATATGTAAAGAAACATCAACATTTAGAATGTCTATTTCTTGTAAAAAAAATGTGTCCATTTTGTGCTAGATAGCTACACACCTGAGGAGCAGAGGAACTGTCTCAAAGGTTCGTTCAGGTACCATTGGAACCGATTATGGCAAATTAGGTGTTGTACGGTTCAGGACACATGGTTATAAAAGACCCATCTAGCGTCCCCTGGCAGCCCCCTTAGGGACCACAGACCACACTTTGAAAACCACTGGCTTAGGATGTTTTAAGTAAGTAACTGACAGATTCTATTTATTTACAGAAAACATGTTTTCATTGTTTGTAGCCGAGGTGAGACTTTGCTCAGCTTCTGGAAGATTCCTACAAACACGTTGCTGCTTTACTGCTTTCTCAGGACTTTCATGTATCTTAGTACAGCAATGGTCCTTGATAAACTTTTAAAAAACTGGTCAGTCAAGGAAATCTGAACCAGTTACTGAAGGTTAACAGATATGTCACTATTTTGCTATTAAACTGTGCAAACAAACACCTGTAAACTTTTGTATTTTGCCCAGGCGGGAGCCACTTACATTTGCACAGCCACAAACCTGCACAAAGTTTCAGTTGCAGTTTCCACCCCTATTCCTAATGTGGAAGATGTTCAACAGCACAAGGCAAGTGATGAGATATGTTTATATGCGAATGTGTACACTCTGGTTAGATTACTTAATGCAAGAGGAATTTAAAGACAGAAACACAAAGAACAAGAGACAAAGTAGGAAAACGCTAGTTGGGTGGGTGGGGCAAACACACACTTCAGGGGCAGAATCCTTCAACACTTGTTCAGTACGTTTAAAGGTCAGAGTTCATCTGAAACCGTATGGGTATGTCACCGTGCACTCGTGAGTCACACAGACAGAAACTACAGCAACGCAAAAAAGAAACAAATCTGCACCTTGTGCACAACAGGTTTCAGTGAAAAGCTGTAATGGAAAGTTGTTTCTTCTACACCTACACAAACTCTGAGGTATTAAAGAAGACTGACGACAAATGTGTTGATAGACGGCAAAAGCTATGACACCAGAGCTTCCTTGATTAATTAATTAAACTAACCAATAAATACATAATGAACAAATACTGTAATTTATTTAGAAATGTTATTTGTTCATGTCCAATTATGGAAAACAATAGAAGAAGCAGTCATCGTTGGTTAGAGTTAAGTGGAATTCTGCAAACTCAAACTCATAGGATATAAACATGAATACTTTAGGTTCTGTTCGGAGTTCAACCAAACAACATTAATAACCTGGTCTGGGTTGAAAATAAAGAGACTCTTAATGACTATTCCAGGCATAGATCAGAAACTAAGGATCAGTGGTTGGATATGGATGGAATGGTCAATTTAATTATGCAAGTGCAACACGCCCTAAAAAGGCACACTATGACCTCAGCAACAGCAGCCCGCTGCACGGTGGAGGTATCAGAATGACATCAGTATTGGAGGATACTCCAAGTTGTAATATCGGTATCAATACTAGAAAATCTATCAAACACACACCAGCCCTTCAACTTACTTTTACCAGGACCAGGAAATGATAGATTAGATTAGAATAGATTGGATCAAATGCTATTGATCCTACATTGAATAGATATTTTAAATTTGCACTAAACTTCAAACACAAAGAAGAAATGTTTCTAATCTGACAGAGTGATGCCAGTGCCATCTTATGAGGTCATTAAAACCAAAGGTGATGCCAGGATGTAAAAAAATTAAATAAACACGCACAGAACCATTATCTTGATCACCAAATGAAGTCAATTTAAATAGAAGCCTCTGAATAAATAAGGTTTATTTCACCTCATGTTTAACATCAGTAATATTTGCATGAGAAGTTTATTGGCTCGCTTGTTTTTTCCATCAAGGAATAATAATAGTGTTGTAAATAATGAAACAGCAATGAAGGTGACAGAGCATACGAACAAACAAGGGAAATAAGTAAGGTGGTGAAGTGGCCCTAGGGGAGAGTGTAGCAAGGCAGCATGGGATGGTTATGTGTTAAGACGACAGTGAATACAAAGAAACAGCAGCAAGTTAAACAGAGCCTCTGACCAAATAGAAAACATGAAAGAAGGTGTGTGAAAGTGTGCCAGAGGTTAGGCATCTGAGGCTATAAGGAAATCTGGAAGAGGTCTAATGTGGAATAAAAGGACCCAAAAGACAAAGTTAATTTGTCATGGGGACTTTGAAAGTGGAGACATGACTAATGTGAAAAACCAAGCAGAGATGCGAGAGGTTGCAACAGCAAGGAAGAAGAAAATAAATGGTATGGGGAACCTTAAGAGAAAAAAAGCAGTAAGGGACATTCACCGGATTCAGTCAACAACAACAATTCCACTGGTAAGGTAGCAGAGTGTTCTGTGAAGGTGGAAGCTTAATGTATTAGGAATCAGAGAGCAAAGAACACAACATATTTTCAGCCAGATAGAGGTTTGAATAGGGGGCTGAACGGTGCTAAGGGGGTTGATGCAGAAGATTGAGGTGTCCCAGAGAGAGGGACATAGCAGATGTTCACCACAGTTGTGGAGAGTGGTGCTAATTTTGAGCAGAACTACAGTGACTATAAAGACTGTAGATAATTTTTGATACGACACATAAAACATCAGTTCAAAACAATTTAACAGACCTACAGCTTCCAGCGTGAACTGTTCTGAATTAAAACACCAACAAGGTCTGTTAAAGTTGTTTTCTCTCTCTAGACTTTGAGCTGAAATGCATTAGTACATTGTAAGGTAAACCTGTAAAGACTCTTGGCAATGTTAAATTTAAACAGCAGCAATTTGACTGGTTCCTAACATGAATAAACTGTTGATTGCTGAATGTATAAGGATGTTTGCTTGGTTCATCAATGATGTCATAATTTCATTTTAAAAACTTGAATGAGAGGAGCATTGTGGGAAAAAGTCCCAGTTTACTGCCTTTTTCTGAATCAACATGGATTTTCATTTCTCACACTTCAAATTTAAACCAGGTTAACTCTGGTACCAGTGCTTTAAAAAACAACAACAATATAAGTTCATACCTTTATAACAACTCAAACCTATAAATACAAACGAATCTCTGCAAAATTCTGATGATGACAAAATAACAGCAAAACAATCATATTGAAATTACATTACAAAATACTTATACCTTCTTTTATTAAAAACATTTTTGCCACAGCCTGCATTTTTGGATGCGTTCGTATGCAAAGTGTGTCAAAATTAGTACACGCTTTTTTATGAGGTAGGATTCCAAATAACGCCACGCCCCTTTCAAGTCATTAAGACCCAGTGTAGCTAATCAAATAAAGAGCTAAAACCTTGTGATCACATCCAAATTTTATTCCGCACACGGCTAACAAAAGAGTCAAGTGACAGTTTTTTTTACCCCGACTCCACACACTGTATCACTGGCTTCATAGCATAATTACCTACGTCAAACTTTGGCCAAATTGTGGCCAACTCTACTCTCAAGCTATAATTTAGGTTTAATTATGTATTTTTGACAAGTGTTGACGTTTTTCAATTTAGCATCTGCCCCATAGTTTTTTTATACACAAGCCCCTGTTTAGACAAATTTAATGTGTTAAAGAATATGACATGGTCACCGTTGAAGTGTGTACCAGAGTGTATTCTGTCACTACAGTGTGGACTACATTGCTACTTGGTACATTTGGTTGCGTGTACCTGGCTAACTCAGCGCTGCTTTACATTCCTGTTACTTTGGCGTAAACGTGAAGAATTTCCTGAGTGTCAGCAGCAGAGAGTGTGTGCTGACAGGCCTTGGCCACAAGTCAACTCTCTCACTTCTTCCTTAAGCAGTAATGTGTTTACAGACACTGACCAAAGTGACCCAGTTGAAACACCAAAGTGTTAAATAAGTCAACGTGAGTGGGGGTACAACGGTGAAAACAAACAGTGAGGGTAAATTGAGAAGCAGAAGAGAAAGAAATACGCACCCCAAAGTACTAATGAAGCCATTCACCGAGCCTTCCGCGTAAAGAGACACGATGTCTCCGATGTGGAGGAAGCTGGATCTGTGCTCAGACATTATTTCTTTCTTTTTTCTTCTCTACGTCCAGATGCGTTCTCAGGACTTGTCCTGGCCTTCCATTCATGAACCAGTGTCACTTCTCTTCGGCTCCAGTAATCCACACGTTACAGCGCCTCCACTCCACTGCTCACGTTCACCTCCATTCTTTGACTAATACACATCACCTCCACAGGAGTCCACACAGAGGAAAGAGCCGTGAATGCAAAGTAAAAGTGACGACGCTGTGAAACCTCTTTCTTTTAATGACTTATATAATATTCAACTTCTTCCTGTATGTGAGAGAAGCGGGAGTGTGGCTCTTCTCATCCACACCAGGGGGAGGAGACTGCTGCTGCTGCTGCTGCTGTCAATGCTGCTGCTGCTATCAGGACTCAGCAAATTAGCCCCAATGACACGCTGTTGTTTTTCATTCAAGCAGCAGCAGCACACATTAAAACACTGTACATCTGAGTTTTATTAACTTTTATATGTCATATTACATGTCAACAAACGTCAGGCGCCTTTGCACAAATCCTATGATCAAGTATAATTTATTACATTCAATCTAATTAGTATAGTGCCCCTTTAAAGAGTAATACAGTGCATACAAGTGATACAGTATTACAAAAATTCTCAACCAGTGTGTCATTGAAAATGTTTTCTGTTTTATTATTGCACAATAGATTCTTATGAATCTGTTTTTACTTATCATTTGCTTTTGCAAAACCAAAGTAATGCTTAGTTAAAGAAGCTGGGATTTTTATTTTTGAAGATTTTTTAAAAAAAATGTATTTTTCAAACTTATGTACACGAAAGCTTTAATAGATCACTCGAAATACTCACATGGCCATGAAATTGATTGTAAATACCTTGGAAACATCACAGGCCTGACAGTAGTTCAGCTGGACTCATCCTGGGGCATTGTCCCATTTTCTAGGCCATCGGTGTCACATTCTACAAAGATCCTGAATAAGTGGGCCATGAAAAAAAAAGTCAGACTGTAGCCAAATCTTTCAATGTATAGGACAACTCTTTGTGGGCAACACTTATTTGGCAGTTAAAGTGTTTTACACTACCTGGCAACAAAAATGATGTATTTTCCTGAATTTAACAATACATTATTTTTCTTACCTTTTTTTGGAATGTCAGTGTCCTTGTTTGGTAAACACGTTACCTATTGCATATCTGCATTAGATAAGTGACCGTAAAGGTTAAACCATGTGTAGATCATCCACATAAACTAAATGTTTTATTGTAATAGTCTAAAAACCCCGCTAGATGTCACTGTAAAAACCTATAACCAATCTAGTTATTCTCATTCGCTTAATTCCGCTCAGGTGCGTCGATTTTCTGACCAACTCCGCCCTCTAGCTGTCATTATTTTCACAGAGCCACTTTAAAGGGTTCTTCTATGTTTTTAATACAAACAAGCTGAAACAAAGGGAAAAGACTGGTTCCTCTGACCATAAATACACTTTGCAGGTGGGATAAGTACTTATCCAAAGACTTATCGTTAACTTTGTGTGCTGTTTAATTATTTTAATTGTGACATTAACTCTTTTTAATACCAGAAAATTGACTACAGAGGCCAATGTTACCAGTATATGTACCTGTAAATCAAATTAGAGTATAAAATGAGCCAAACATTAAGAGATATTTCTGATCAAATTAATGGTACTGGTTTTTAATTTAATTTAATTTAAATGTCATATTTTCTGTCTACGATCTAATAATTCGATATTTTAGCTTTAATAAGACTTGAAGTACAAAATGAAAGCAAAACAGTAAAACATTTATTTATGAAAAACATATTAATTTTATTAGACAAATTCATATATACCACAGCCAGCATTTGTCAATATGGTATAAGGTGTATTTTAGCAATATAACTTATCCCAAGCTGGCAAATATTTAAGCTTTTTCAGACTCTGACCACCAAGGTCACATTACGGATTACGGATTAAGTGATTCAGCTACTTTTCTATTAAAAATGTTAACTGTGGACATCTGAAGATGGCTATTCCACAGTGTTAACATATGTTTTGGCTGAGTGGAACACAACATATTAACTTAAAGAATATTTGGTCTTCAAGACCCACTAGTGTGACCTACTTCAAATACAGCAGTACAGGCCTACGAAGCACTGAGCCATAAAAGATCATTCATTCCCAATAAGATCAAATAAGAGCTATCTTTCAGGCAAAGCTCCATTTTATCATCAGTTGCACTACATCTGGCACTTCTATTATGTAACAACATACACCCACATTGACACACACACACTACTTCTTGATTCAGCAGGTTTCCCTTTTTTTCTCTCTCTAGTCTCTGAAGGGCTCCTCGTGACATTAATATTCTTCCCCTGATTCCACTTCTCTTTTTGAGAGTTCCAGTTTGAAGCCCATGCAGTGTCATGTTTTCAATGCCCCTACTATTATGCCAACACAGTACTTTTTAAAAAAGTATTCTGCCACATACAGTACAACTGGAAGATGTTTAAAATCACTGTGATTATTTATACTATAATTTGAGAAGTATTCCTTTAAGGTGAGAAAAAGAGGGGGGGGGGGACAGAGAAACAACAACATGTGCTAAATTGCAGGGCTTAAATTAGGCCTGGCCAAACTTTTTGCCTCACGGGCCACAATTGTCCTAAAAGTGAACGAGGGGCCGGGTCAGGAGCAGATAGATGGAGCGTTAGTGTGAACTAAGATAAATGACATGTAAAAGTCATGTATAAAGGCTAAAATGCTAAAATGCTTTTATCATTTTCTACACTATCTATTCTAAATTGAAGATGGATGTATGGATGATGAATAAATGGATGGATGGATGAATTAATCTCATATTCTTCTGTTGATGTCACAGAACAGTGTTAACGGTGTTATTGATGTACCTCCAACTTTGAGAAAATTAATTGATCAAATGATATTAGCTTTTTAATATTCTTGTCTTAAAAAGCCTGTCCTATACCTAGCTCATGCTTTTAAAATACTTGATAAAACTACATTATCTATATATTTTTGCAACTGGATACTTAATTTATATTATCTAATTTTTTATTGATTTATTTTTGTAAGGGTAAAAACATTTTTAGAGACTTCCTGGACAACGCAGGTCCAGAGGTGCAAAATATGGGACGCATACCATATGTGGCACCTGCATGGAACGGTGATTTATTGTTTTAACTGTGCTGACAAAATAGAACAGGGATATAAAACACATATTTTATACACTACATATAAAATATTACAACAGTAGTGTAGCATTGTCTGATAATTACAGCCATATAATCGTATTAGGAATGGAATATCTTGGTAATTGTGATCCTTCTAGAATGTCAAATACTTCAGTGGAGGACGTTGGAAAAGCACAGTTAGTATTGTCCATATGTTTTGTTTAAAAATGTAATTAGAATTTTAGCGGTGTTATAATATGCCTTTAACTGTAGGTGAGGGAGAGTGAAAGAGGGTGAGGGAGTGTGTGTGTGTGTGAAAGAGAGAGAGAGCGAGAGAAAGAAGGAGAGAGAGACTAAGCGAATGCATTGACCTTACGTTCATACTCAGTCGCACCTTTAGCAGCAGTAGCCTCTCCTCTCCTCTCCTCTCCTCTTCTCTTCCTTCCTGTCCTCTATTTTCACCTAATCCTTTTCCTGGTTGACTTTCAGCTTTCACTTTTTCTCTCTAACGTCGACTCTTACGGACCTACACGTTTATACCATTGTATGAGCGTCAATGTGTGTGTTTTCCTGTCGCAGTCTCCCTTCACGGCTCCTGCAGGTCGTGGTGTGACGCGGGAGGATGTAAGTAAGCCAGAGTTTTAAAACTTTAACGAGTGCTAGTGTGTTTTGTGCTCAGTGTTGACTTTCGTACTGCTCATATTGGTCTTAACACGAGAGTAAAGCAGGTGTAAACTCCTTTATTTTCCGACCTCCTGACTGTGCGAACGGGGCTGCACACTGCCACACTCAGTTGAAGTTTTCTGCAACACACACCGTGATGAGCTTCAGTGAAAAAGTCGCAAAGTCTGGAGAGGTTCCATTGTTTGTCTTTGAGAGACAAGAACGTGTTGAAGGTTGAGTTTTGACGAATCTTCAGTTTTTTCTCTTTGTTTTTTAATTTCGGTGAACATGTTGCCAACGGTTATTTTTGGTTATAGACCACCTCCATGGTGCTGGTCACTGAACCTTTGACTCCGCTTTTTTCGTGTAAGTAAATAGTCAGAGACAGAGGAGCCTTTTGTTTTTTGTGTTTTACTTCACATTAATTTAAACTTCCAGTGGAGTATTCGCATCAAGTATTGACGTTCAATACTGTTACTGTCCAATCCAGAAGAAGCCTTCAGCATAGGTTTAGTCTTTCTTTAATTGTAGCTAATATGTAGAAATATGTAATATGTTAATTAGTTATTAAATAAATCAAATAATAAGTAAATCCATAATTTAATTAACAATGGATTGTTTTACATGTTAAAATGAATGAAGAACAAATCAGCTAAATCATTAAGCTAGTGTACATGTTGTGCTAAATGTTTTTAAGGTGGTCTGCAGTAGTGAATGGCAGCTCTTTACAGACTACATCTGGTATGTCAGCAGTCACCTTTACTGATGTTTTTTTTTTCCCCACAGTGTTGAGACGTGAATGGTGTGAAGTGTTGGAATGCAGTGGGATTATCACCTGACCTTCACTGAGAGGACATGAACCGATCAGCCTGTTGAATGAAACTCTCTTTTTTTCTTCTTCTTCTGATCTTTGCGGCAGTACAATGCCTTTTGGTTTATTATGTCTACACTGAAGCACGTCTATCTGCAGGACAAACACGGGGACGTTGAAAAGAAACAGGACTGGGACTACATCGAATGGGCCGAAAATGAAGTTCTCAACACGAGAATGGTGGACGCACAGACACAAACGGACTCAAGGTCTGTTGAGCACAAGGAAAGTCAGACCAGCAACCTTGTCGTGATGCGTATAGACCTTACACGGACGCACTCCAAGCTGAGGCATTTGTCTCTGCTAGATGATGACAATTTAGTAGCACCGGCGTTCCAGTTCAATCGACAGGCCCCCGGCCGGATCTCTACATCCCCTACTCTGAGGAGGATGAGGAGTACCAGGTGTTCTCTGGTGGAACCTCCAGGTTCGTTGAGGATAAGCAAACAGGAGGACTTCTCCTCCGCATGCTCACCATCTACCAAAAGCACAGTTTACCCGGTACGCAGAGTCAAGTCTCCTCTCGCAGCGAACGCTCTCTCTGACGGGGAGCTCTATTCTGATCGTCAGCCTCATTCGTCATGTGGTCGACAGAGAACCAGATCAAAGACTATTGAAAATGGCGTTACGTCACCAAAAAAAGAATGTCAAAGTGCTCATCCGGTTCTCACTAAAGAATTTCAGTTTGCAGATGAATCAGTGGAGGTAAGCTTCTTTGGACTAAGGTGCCATTCTTATTGTCTTTTGTCTTAAAATTGTTAACGATTACACACTTATTCCTTCTTACCCCACTAAAGCCCCCCTCTCTTATACCAAGTTGCCTTCTGTGGCGGTAATTCACAATGTAGGCTTTTGACAGCAAATGAATCAGCAGTTACATGCACTGACATCTCTGACCAGGCCCACTGCCTGGAGAGCCCAGGGAGGAGCTCTCCTTGGGCCCCCATTCACCACAGTCAGCAGTCACCCAATAATGCAGGGGTCAGTGACTGATGGGAAAAGATAATGGGCAGATCTATTCATCGACTCGCGGCATTCAGTGGAGCACATTCTCAATAGAGTCCTGACATTCTCCACAGATATCACAGGCTTTTAAATTAAAGTGGCCTCTCGGAGTGATTCGAATTTGAATGTCTTTGAAAGTTATATAGTTGTGTTGTTGATCAAGGAAGTCCTTACACCGTGTGTTTAATGCTGAGTGTGCAGCAAGCATGGCCTACAGTCAGTATTAGACATTGATACTTTGAAGTTTTAATTATCATTATTGTGTAAAATGTTGCTGTTTTTTTACAATTTTTAACACAGCATATCCGTTTTTTCGACAGGAGAAAGACCACTCCTCTTCAAGGTAGGAGAACAATGGCCTGTTTTGCATGTCTTTTAAATAGCAGCCCTGTTGGGAACATATTTGCATGGCATGAATGTTGTCTATATTTCCTCTAACTGCTCAGCTGTACTACAGTTCTCAAATTTGTTTTGACCTTCATTTGCATTGCGTTCTGCTGTTACTTCATTTGCACAAGTATATCCGTGCAGTGTGTCGACTCCAGTGGTGTGAGCTCCACGGCATTCTGCGCTCACCGGACGGCCTTAGAGCAGGCTAAGATGACAGGACCCCTTGGTTCAAGGAGCCCCACTGTGCACTCATGCCTCTGTTAATGGAGCATAAACATGGTAGGGTTAGTTATGAGAGTCCCATGGTTGTGTAGGTACTAGACAAACTTTCATTAAGGGTGTATTCTCTTCACTTCAACCCACACCCCTCCTAATGAGCGTCCTGGGCTTTTCCTCTCTCTGGATAATTAGGCAGCTATTGTCCCAGTAATTACACCCCAGCACTGTGCCTCTTACAGTGTTCAGGCCTTTGCAGGGACAGTCCTGTTTTGGGGGCATCATTATTTCTCCTCTTGTGTGCGAACAAAGCGCTCATTTTTGCATGTGCTTTCCGTGGCAGAGAGGCTGACATACACAGAGAGGGCTTTCTGAGTGCTCACCACGCAACAGAATTTTCTTTGTGACAGTACGGTGGACTGAAGTGTAAAGAAGCCGTGACCTGGTTTAAACAAGTGCTTCTCTCGCTGTCCCGTCCGGCTTCCAGTTCCCAGTTTACCTTTGTGGATCTACCAACAAATTTTTAATTGATTGTCATTAAACCAAACTGGTCAGAGCTGGCGGTTACTTGACGTCTGGATTACAGTGTTTGTTTGATGAATGTTTACAACATTAACATTTTCAAAATATCAGTTTTTGCTCATGGTTTGCACCTGGTGTGTATTACGTTTGGCTTACTTTATTGCACAATGGGCTGCAGTTCCACCCTGTTTGAAAACGGCATAAGATTCAAAAGTCACCAGTATAAAAGAAATGACATCAAGGCTTTAACATAATCTGTTAAGGGTGTTGTGTGCATATGGATTACAGCGTATGACTAACATTGAGTTCCTTTAACATAATTGAGTTAGTGTTGTACTTGTATCCAATTTTCTTTTATTTTTTCCTATTCCTAAATGTTGAACACCAGGTGTTGAGGGTGATTCTTCTCCTTCTTCTAACTGCTTCATCACTGGCTGCCTGTGTATTGATGACATAATTTACCAGTAGCATGACCCTTGCTCAAAGAACAGCTGGTGCTTACGACAATCTGTTCTTTTTCATAGTACACAGTTGGGGCGGTAGCTGTGCTGTCTACGTGAGAACTCACGGAATGCATGAAACATTCAGGTTGACAGCCTGACTAGTCAGTCAAATAAAGAAGAATTGATCCGTAATAGTGTTCTCTAATGAACCAGTTCCAGCATTGTTCCCTTTGCTTTGACTTCTCCTTCACTTTATAGTAATGTCATAAACAGGAACAGTAAGTTAGAAGCCAGACTTCCCTATAATCTATCCCTGATAACAGTGATAAGCCTGTTCATGTATTTGTCTTTTATAATGTGGCATGGTTCAACTTTTTATTATTATAATTATTATTATTATTCTTTCTATTTTTAACCGGTTGTTTTTGTGGCAGAGATTTAAGGAATTTAAGACTTCAAATCGCAACATGTTAGCAAGGGTCACTGACAAGCTGTACATCATTGTCAGTGTGCAAAAAGAGAATTTTACCGTTGACAAAACCAGCTTTTCTAGTTTTCTAGTTGCCATGAACCTCATTTCTGTTTGACTTTAGCCATGAATGAAAGACAACAAGTGTCATGTTAGTGTTGGCAAAGATTTGGTCAGCGTTGTTTTGTCACCAAATAATCAGGTTTTGAAGATAAAGATGTCAGACCACTTCTTGTGTTCATGGGACAACGTTTTGAATTATATTCATGTAGGCACCAATTAAAACATACTCAGTTGTCAGCACAGAGCTGGGGATGAAAACCCGGCACCAGTGGAGAGTAAAATGGAAGGGTAAAAAAAAAGTTGTTTTGAAGAATTGTCGTTAAATAGAAACATTTTTGTGTCTTTAAAACACAATTTTAATGGCATATGTTCAGATCTATGGTTTGAATTTCGGAGCTCCCACAGCGCCCCCTCCCTCACCAAATGGGTGATTAAGTGTAACAGCTATTCCAACTAGTGTAAACCTGCAACATGGAACACAACCCAAACGTTCCACTAGCATTTCATGTTGTGTAACGAAAGGAATTGTGACGTGTTCTGGGTCTGTCATCTTTATGGCAGATTAAGTTACTGTCAGAATGTAATTGTCCTGGTAAACATGATTCTAAGCAGCTTAATTTAAAATGTCATGTATTGTAGCCAGTTTTATTATTGGCTCGTCTGTGTGTTGCCTCATCGTGTTACTCAGCCGCCTGCTTCTGCTTGTCATTTCACTTCCCCAGGCTCCAGGAGAGACGACGCAGTTCTGTGGTCGTCAGTTTACCAGGATTAGATGTTTCACCAGGAGACCTGTTTGTATCCAACGGAGTTGCCGGTATAGTCACTGGCACCATAACACATCATGCATGCTAGTTTGTGCAGCAGTGACATAGAGATTTGAATTAGGTGAAATTGGCTACTGACTGTACGTGGGAAATAAAAGACAACTCACATTCTTATATAAATGTTGCCGGTCTAAATAAATAATGATAAAAGTTTTGTCAAACTATCTTCCCCAACATAACACCCTAACCAGGAGCATTCATGGTTTAAACCTGTTGTCAGTCAAGTGCAGTGCAACATAACAGTGGTATAATTCTTTTTAACAGTTTTTACAGTTAAGTCATTTTTAACAGTGTCCAAAACCTACTAATAACTAGAAGGATTGTAGACGTTTACATTATGTACTGCAACATATTTTGCATACAAACACTGAATCATACATGCATACATTTTATTTATGTATACAAGACTACTGCAATACTGGCAATTAAGCAGAATGTTTTGTTGTTTGTTAGAACCATCAATCGTCATAAAGACAAAGACAATTAACAATATTCCATAATTAACAGTAATAATGGTAATACTAAAATTGCATTAAAAAAATTCTGCATTTGTGTAATGTAACGTAAACATGACATATAGGAAAGTAGATATGGCCATTTGACAGTGTTCTATATCCATACCTTGAGACATGCATAAAACTAATGGACATACAAGTCATGTATTCATTATGGAGTCACTAAATGAGTCACATTCAGGTAAAACAAACGTTTTAAAACAAAAACAAAAAGGCAGCAGATGTAATGTTTGCACTTGTATTTTTCTGTGTTCACACGCAATAATTAACGTATGATGTTTTAACGTCCCCACGCGTGCCTCTACAAAGCCAATAAACACTTGTAACATGTGTCATTGAAGCAGATAACGCTGAGGTATGACAGAATGCAAATTGGATAATTTCCACTGAGTATTTGGTGTCACTGACAATGCTGCTATTAACACACTGACAGTTAGTCGGAAAAAAACGAGTGTCATCAGGTTTAGCCCAGTTTAATTTAATCTCAGTGCACTTTATTTTTTTACTTTTGTGTTTTCATTTGGGTTCCTCTTCTTGATTTGACAGATAACAAAAAGACAAAGTGGCCTTTTTCACGGCGGAGTACGGTAGGTGGACAGTATTTTTCTTTTCTGTGGTTGTTGAGTGACAGCTGCAGTTATGTGTGTAGTTTCTGGACATTCTCTGTTTCTCAGTTAAAGAATCATTTCTGCACTCATTGTTCTCTGACCTACTTGCTGAATCAGTTACTAAATGTGGTTCCTCCTAACCGTTAGTGGCTTTTTAAATTGGACTCCAGATGTATTGTAAATCTTGTTGATTTGCTGATCAACTCTTTAATTCCTCATTGCCATTGGGTCAACAATTTTCTGTTGTTTTTCAGACTAAAGGGAAGTTGCAAACAGGTGCGGTGTCCAATATTGAAAAATGTCTCTCAGCAGTGCAGATTCAAGACTGGAGGAACAATGACTTTCAGAAGTATAAGGTGAGAAATAAGTTCTGTCTGCAGTGAAGAAAAAATCATCTGCACAAACCTCCAGTGTAAATCACTGCGTTGATTGCATATGCAGAGCAACATTTGAACAGCCATGATATTCAGATTCCTAATTCAAACAGATTTCAATGTTTAACATTGGCTCAGAAAAAACAGGATGGTAGTAAAAAAAAAGAAGAAGAAGCAGCTTCTTCTGCTCAGTGCAAAACCTGAATTTCCAGGCTGTAACTCATCAGATGGAGCGTGAGCACAAATATAAACAAACACTGACATTTGTCTGTTGGAACTATGGGGCAGCGTGTAGTGACTTTAAAGTTCCCTGCTAAACTTCATCATGTGTAAAAGACTGTTCTGAAAATAAATGTACATTCTTCCCGTTTATGCTCTGTCTTTCAGTTGTGTTTCCTTTCCCTGTCAGTCCAATGATTTTCCTTTTTCTTCAGGAATACTCTGTGGCCGAGTTCCTGCGGGACCAGTCCTTCCAGGTGAGTGCCACCTCTCCTCCTCAGGGCTTTAAGAGCCATGAAGCCATCTGGGAGCTCTTCACCAGTGAGTGTGTCTACTTCCTGGATCAGCTTATGGTTCTCAAAGAGGTGACTCAAACACACACACACACACACATAATACATGCTAAATTGTGCAGCATTTCTCCATTAGCACTCTTCCCTTACCATTGTATTAAAATATCTTGTGTTGTCTTCAACAACTGGCTGCCCATTCCTTCCCATTTTTCTTTCATATTTACAGTATTCTGTTACCAACCCTAAACAAAAACTAGGATGTCTCATCAAGGCCAGGATATTTTTTAATTGTCCAACAGATATGCATAAGAAATGCAACATATAAATAGACTAAAACTAATTGAAATCCGATGCCGTCTGCTTTGTCATCGTTCATCCTCTCCCTGAATTCCTGCCATTCAGGCGCACGTAGAAGTCTTTCTGGGCTTTTCAGTTTCGTTCCTTACGGCAGTGGATTTGAAATTTGATGCTGACACAACAGCGAGCCTAAGCACACTTTGTCCCTGACTTCTTTTGTTGCTTTCAGGTGTTTTTTGCTACACTCACAAACCTCCAGACAAAAAGTTCCTTGATGGACATCGACACCTGGAGGCTATTTGCAAACCTGAATGAGCTTTGCCTGGTGAGACCTAGTGATTTATTTTATATTGTTACCAATTGTTACTAATTAAAAGAAGGAGTGGGCTGCTCACTCCTGACCTCTGCCTGTAACACCTGACACAAGTGTTTTCTGCTGCAGGTGAGCTTTGGTTTTCTGAAAAACCTACTGCGCGTCATTAAAGACACATTGGAGGTTGCACAGGATGGTGGGTCCGCCCTGCTGGAGCTGCTGAGCAAGGCAAGTGTGACAACAACAAACGTGTGGACACGCACAAACCCATTAACTTTGCTGTCTGCTGCTGATAAACACTGTGATATCCCAGCTTGGGATCAATAAAGTATATCTATCCATCTATAAGAAACTGATGAGGACAAGTCAGAAAACTGTAGTATTTGTTATACAGGTGAAATAATATAATACAGGAGATGACCTTATTAGATATATTTTATAATATAATTATGAGTAACTGTTTTTATTGTAAAGAAAGTAAAGATGTATGAGAATATGTGAGCAAAAAACAGATAGATAGATAGACTTTATTTACCCCAGGCTGGGAAATTAGAGCAGGGGTGTCTACGGAGCTACATACATATGTAAACATATAGACACTATTTGTTTGGGTATTGATTAAATGCATATAGCTGTATGGCAAAATATGATTCAATTCTTATAGTATAAGCTCATTAATACACACTATAGAAAGATATATATAGTTTTTATTATATTGTATCAATATATATCTATATAAATAGAATTATATATATATGTATATATATACTGTTTATATTTAGTTTTTTTAATAGCTCATAATCTACTAAGGCTCCCATTGTGATCCAATGGTAGATCCTGATCTGCTCTCGAGTCACCCCTGGTCTACAGCAACACAGTGCAGTGGAATAAGCACTCTCATGAAACCCTCTATAGTGCTAGTGATTTAGGTGTATGATAACAAAGATAACAAAAATAAACATATATTGAAACCTTGATTTCACCATGACCTTTGAAATAGCTGAACGATTTACGATTAGACAATCAATAATAAATAGCTACAAAGTTCATTTAAAATCTGATCAAATCAGAATTTATCAGGAAAAGAAAAATGTCAGAAAATGTAGAAGCCATTTCACACATTTGGAATTTGTTTTACCTTTTAAATCTGAATCTATGACTGTGTGTTGTTAGGCTTTTCAGGAGAGCATTTGTCACTGCCTTCAAAAGTACTGCCTCAACTATTCCACTGCTGTGCTTTATCTGGACAGCTTGAAGCCCAGAGAGGACTTTGGATCTTACATCAAGGTACAGAAGGGCTGATCATAACTGTGTGTGTCTGTGTGTGTTGGTAGTGACGCTTTGTACATACAGTACAGTACAAATCCGATGCCGTCTGCTTTGTCATCGTTCATCCTCTCCCTGAATTCCTGCCATTCAGGCGCACGTAGAAGTCTTTCTGGGCTTTTCAGTTTCGTTCCTTACGGCAGTGGATTTGAAATTTGATGCTGACACAACAGCGAGCCTAAGCACACTTTGTCCCTGACTTCTTTTGTTGCTTTCAGGTGTTTTTTGCTACACTCACAAACCTCCAGACAAAAAGTTCCTTGATGGACATCGACACCTGGAGGCTATTTGCAAACCTGAATGAGCTTTGCCTGGTGAGACCTAGTGATTTATTTTATATTGTTACCAATTGTTACTAATTAAAAGAAGGAGTGGGCTGCTCACTCCTGACCTCTGCCTGTAACACCTGACACAAGTGTTTTCTGCTGCAGGTGAGCTTTGGTTTTCTGAAAAACCTACTGCGCGTCATTAAAGACACATTGGAGGTTGCACAGGATGGTGGGTCCGCCCTGCTGGAGCTGCTGAGCAAGGCAAGTGTGACAACAACAAACGTGTGGACACGCACAAACCCATTAACTTTGCTGTCTGCTGCTGATAAACACTGTGATATCCCAGCTTGGGATCAAGAAAGTATATCTATCCATCTATAAGAAACTGATGAGGACAAGTCAGAAAACTGTAGTATTTGTTATACAGGTGAAATAATATAATACAGGAGATGACCTTATTAGATATATTTTATAATATAATTATGAGTAACTGTTTTTATTGTAAAGAAAGTAAAGATGTATGAGAATATGTGAGCAAAAAACAGATAGATAGATAGACTTTATTTACCCCAGGCTGGGAAATTAGAGCAGGGGTGTCTACGGAGCTACATACATATGTAAACATATAGACACTATTTGTTTGGGTATTGATTAAATGCATATAGCTGTATGGCAAAATATGATTCAATTCTTATAGTATAAGCTCATTAATACACACTATAGAAAGATATATATAGTTTTTATTATATTGTATCAATATATATCTATATAAATAGAATTATATATATATGTATATATATACTGTTTATATTTAGTTTTTTTAATAGCTCATAATCTACTAAGGCTCCCATTGTGATCCAATGGTAGATCCTGATCTGCTCTCGAGTCACCCCTGGTCTACAGCAACACAGTGCAGTGGAATAAGCACTCTCATGAAACCCTCTATAGTGCTAGTGATTTAGGTGTATGATAACAAAGATAACAAAAATAAACATATATTGAAACCTTGATTTCACCATGACCTTTGAAATAGCTGAACGATTTACGATTAGACAATCAATAATAAATAGCTACAAAGTTCATTTAAAATCTGATCAAATCAGAATTTATCAGGAAAAGAAAAATGTCAGAAAATGTAGAAGCCATTTCACACATTTGGAATTTGTTTTACCTTTTAAATCTGAATCTATGACTGTGTGTTGTTAGGCTTTTCAGGAGAGCATTTGTCACTGCCTTCAAAAGTACTGCCTCAACTATTCCACTGCTGTGCTTTATCTGGACAGCTTGAAGCCCAGAGAGGACTTTGGATCTTACATCAAGGTACAGAAGGGCTGATCATAACTGTGTGTGTCTGTGTGTGTTGGTAGTGACGCTTTGTACATACAGTACAGTACAGTACGTGGCAACATGATGCAAACCTCTGCAGGAGAAGCATTTTAAACAACAACCAATCAGGTTTGCTGAGGACAGGAATGGGAGCATTTGTCACGTTTGTAACCTTCCCCGTTGTCATACATATTTACATTGGCAGGACAGACAATGTTTGTCCTGCTGCTCGGCCAAACTCCTGAATTAATTGGTAGCAGTGCAGGAAAACTATGAGAAGCACAGAGAGAGCACAGTCTTTGATCGAGGTCACTCAGTTTCCCACAGTAACCCCCCCCCCCCCCCCCCCCACCCCGCCTCCCCCCCCCTATCTTTCTCTTTCTCATTCAATGTGTATATTTTACACCCTGAAGATAATCTACATTTAAAGAACATTTAAAAAAAGTATATTGGAATTACATGAAAAGTCACAATATAGTATTATACCTTTAGGTTTACTGTCAGAAATGACATGTCATATTGTCAAATAAATGTTGGTTTAGATATAGTCTGTAATACTATATGTGCTTTTACAGATAAAAAAACATCTTAATGAGTTAGCAAAAATGAACTATTAACTACTACTGACCACATTTAAACTAGCATAACCAAGAAACCTCAAGATTCAATCGAGCAAGATGGTAATATGCGAACTCTCAACAGAACGACTAAGCTTGATGTCCTAAGCACTTAGAGATCGCTAACTTGCTGACAGCTAAAACAGCTAAAACATCTGTTGACAGATCAGTTCCCTCTCTTAAAAACTGAATTCTTATTGGTTCAAACAAGGCACCAATCAAGCTGCAGCTGTATGTTTGCACCGTGTTTCTTTTGACTCCAATGTTCAGAGTTATTTTCTGGGTGAGTCAGGTTGTAGTGAATCAGTGGATCAAAAGCCTCCGGGTGTTTGTATTGATCTCTATTGATCTTTGTGTGTGTTTGTTATTAGGGTTACAAAACTCCTGAACCAATATTTATTCTAACAAAATGGTTTCACAATAACTAAAAGGCATGTTTGTACAAAACTGACATTTGTGTACAGGTTAAACATGGTGTCTTTAAGTTTGTGTCAGTCCAGTATGTGAATCACAGGGCTTAAATAAAGATTACGGTATGTTACAGTGTGATTGGAGGAGTACAGCTGCATTAGTTAGAAGAACTGAGCCCATTCCTTCATGCTCACAGTTACTGCCAGTTTGACTGTGATAGTCGTTACCAAATATGACCAGTTTTGTTCTCTTTTTCTGTATATGAGTGGTTTTTATTTGTGACGTATCCAAATGATACACTCATAAATATAGGAAAATGTACACAAAAACTTAAATCATACCTAAATATGTAATAACTATGTAAAACATTCCTTGTATGCCTTTTATGTACAGATTAACGCTGGCTTGGAGAACGTGTTTAGAGTTGTTTTCAAATCATCAATCAGTCCACAGTCCCTAACAGTCCATCTGACAAATGTGTCAGTCAACTTGTCACTTGTAGACTTATTATATATACAGTATATATGTATATATATATATGTATATATATATATACATATATATATACATATATATATATATAGTGGCGCTTTGGCCCAGAGGCAATGTCTCTGTCATTGGTGTGGAACCCCAGGGTTCACCTCCTGGGCAAGTTCGAATCCCGGTTAGGGCGGTTAATACCTTCCAGTGGACTCACCACCCGCAGGAAGGTTTGGTACGGTGCAATGTGATTTGGGTGGCGACTGCTGCCCCCGCGACCCGGAAACGGATAAGCGGATGAAAATGGATGGATGGATGGATATATATATATATATATACAGTATATACATATATATATAAGACACTTATTTTAATGATCTTGATTATATAGTTCAGAGACAGGTATATATGACACTGATTGTCTGTTGGTCTACCATGTTGTGTGAGCCTCAGCCGACCTCTCACCTCTTGACCTCTCTGACCCCTGTCCCCTTCTCCTTCTTTTTGCACTATTTCATCTTTAGTGGTGTGAGCGGAACGAACAGTGCCGGCGGCTGCAGCTGCGTGACCTGTTGGTTGCACCTTTACAAAGGCTAACACGATACCCACTGCTGTTGCGAAATATTGCAAAGAAAAGCCAGATGGAGGATGACAGCAGAGGCTATCAGGCCATAGCGGAGGTGGTGGACACATCGATATGTGAGCAGCACACACACTCTCACCTGACAACTTGTGTTCTGTGATCTGCTATTGAAGTTGAGTAGGTAGTATACCAGTAGGTAGTATACCAGTAGTCATTTTGGGCATAGACCAAAGCAATCAAAACTTAACTGAAAGTGTACTTTTTTTATTTTCTTTATGTCTCTTATGTGTAAATATAATAACTAATTCAAAAGTGTGTTTTAAAATGTATTTCAAAAGTCCTAAAGTGCAGTAACACTTCTTTAACCCAGAGTTTTCTGTATGAAAAGCCAATTAGCTATTAACAAAATTAGCATTCATATAATACCTCATACAACTGTAACCGCCCCATTAGTCATGTACCTTTCACCTGCAGAGTGACTGTTTTTTTCCATAGCTACAGTAGCTCACACCCTTTTTATTTAATATTTATAGAATGTCTGTCAAAGGTGACTCCGTGCAGCAGAGGGGCGTGGGCCAACGTCCTCTGGGTGTGGAAATTATTTATTCTAAAAGATCAGTGAGATGTTGTTTTTCCAGATACTGTCAGTCCATGTAGGCACAGATAAAGTAAGGTTTTATTACCAAACCAACTGATATTAGTTCCCACGTGAGCCAGCAGGGCGTCAGCTCTGAGCCCATTTTAACCCTCAGCACGACCATTAGTGTTTTACTAAAAGAAGACAGTGACACCACGCTATGTGCATGCTAAAATTACTAATTTTCTTCTGTTTTGCAGGTGACTTAGAGGGAAAGGTCAAATGGTTGGAAAACTACCAGAAGGTGAAGCGGCTTCGAGATGCTCTGGTGTGGCTTCCAGTGTGGGAGAGAGACAAGCGCTCCTTCATCCCTGAGGTTCGTCATCTGGGATTAAATGGAAATTATACAGATTTATTTCCCAGTGTAGTTTTTCTATGAGACATTATGACATGTTTTTTTATTTTTCCAGAACCTGAAGCGTCTTCTGAAGACCGTCACTCTGGAGAATCTTATTTCCCACAGAAGTCTGCTGCATGATGGGAAACTGGTGCTGACAGGTACGTTAGCACCAGGAGAAATGAACATCGTTTGTAGATGTTTATTTGATTTTGACGAACTCTCTCACCTTCTACTGTTCTGGGTCTTCACAGAGAACGCTAAACTGGTCGATGTTTACCTTTTCCTGTTCGATGAATTCCTGTTGATCACCAAGATCAAGAGGAACAAGAAGGTACAGTGGAATGGCTCTCTCTTTCTGCTCCATCCTCATCTGACCTATTATAGGCTTTTCTCCGACTGCTTCAGTGTACAGTGGAACCTCGGTTGTCGAACGCCTCCCATTTCGAACTATTTGGTTCACGAACAAAAATTTTTGCCATTTGGTTCAACAATATCAGGAGGGCAGAAAGTGATCACTGAGTGACTGAGCGCGTGGCTCGGGATATACACGCTAAGAACTGTGGTCTGGCTTTACGGTGTGGCTTAGCAAAGTCCATGATTATTCACCATCATTAAGAACAAGGAAGCAATAAAAGAAGCTAAAGTTGACAAGGAAGTGACTGTGATCACCAAGGAAAGACGTCAGACATTAGAAGAAGTGGAAAAGCTGTTACGGATTTGGATCAATGAAAAGGCTCAGCACAAACACGTTTAAGAGCAACAGAAATTGATAAAACAAACCCCTGCACCTATAAAGGATTTTAACACACAAAAAGTACTTTTTGAAGATACAATCCTCATTTATGATTGGTTACAAAGTCAAATTTCATTGAGTATAACTTTTGTGCTCTGTCTTGTTCAGAGATCTGTTGGTCCAGACCAGAATCCTCTGAAGCTGCCCCACAACCCGGAGCTGGATCAGCTGCTGAAGGAGGGATGTACCTTCACCGTGCTCGACCAGCCTGTTTCTCTGGACCGACTCCAGCTCAAGAACATCGATCAGCTCAACGCCTCAAGTACTGATAACACACCTGCTGTCTCACGCACTAGAACCTACGACAAGTTACCATGTGATAATAGGTCGTGGCTGTAGATGTCCGATATGAACTTTTCGCAGATATTGTCCAATCATTTCATTTCCAATTCTGATATCGACCAATACCTGCAACCGTTTGGGTAAAGGCAGGGGATACTTTTCATTGTGCGCAATAATTCACTTTCGCTTTCACTTCAAAACTATTTTTAGTCCAAGTCAGATGTCATGCTCAAAGCCAGTACTGTTCCTGTGTTATTTTTCATACACATGATTTTTTGTTTTGTTTTGTTGTAGCATCAGGGCTTCCCCACTCTTTCATAATCATGCACCAGATCCGCTACCAGCAGTGTGTCGGAGCGTTCATCTTCCAGGCTGCATCGGAGTCCGTCAAGGTAACAGTGCACACCAGATACAGTACAAGCATCTGAGAAGTTTGACACAGCTGCAGTGCAGGGAGCTGACAAAAAAATGGCTGCCAACAGGGACGTGAGGAAAACCAGACTAAAGCTGCTTGACAAAACATATTTAATTACTAATAATGAAGGATCAACTGTAGTCTGTTCTGGACCTTGTTGTCAAAGGATGTTACTAAGCAACACACAATTGTTTTTCTCCTGGAGAAAAAGGTGGAGTAAAGAAACTCCTGATCCTACCTGCATAGTTTGGCGCTCATGTTTCATAACAATTCTTTTGTTAGGCAGGTGTTTATGTCTTAATCTGGTTACTGAGTGGGTGTCACTACATTATAGGTTCACATTTCAAAGATTCTTATACTGTATATGCCTTTGCTTAAAGCCTATATTTGTGCATTGGGAGCAGCATTAGGTTTCAATCCAATTTTCATGTATACCTTAGCCTAACACTGAGAAAACATCATGACATCTGTCTGATTCCTTGCTGTTTTTCCAGAAAGTTTGGATGTCAAACATAGAGGGCGCCGTCATGACACTACTGAAGCAACAGTCTGAGCAGCCGCGGCTCAGGACCGCCTCACTGTGGCTGGAGTCTTCACAGATATGAGAGAACACAAACGAAGAAGCGGCTCCTCACCTGGAGGCTTTTAAAACTGACTCTGGAGCTGCTCTAGGATTTAAACTCGGTGTTTACCTCCGTTGGCAGCTGCTACTTGTGTTTGTAAATGCAGTGATTAGTAAACAAACAGGTTTTGAACACTATTTCAGGTTTTAGTCACCGTGTTGGCCTGAGGAACACGTTCACTAACAGATGTGACATGGAGAGAGCACAAGCGACATGACGTCATCATGCATGGTAACCAGCACTAACAGGAAGCCGACCACAGCTGTGTTGTCAAGTCCAACACAAATGATCCACGTAGTTTTCACTGTTGCCATGGTTTCACATCCACAAGTGTTGTATATATTTATTTTTGTTTTCTTTCATTACAAACATTTACAAAGAGAATTATGACTTTTTAAATCAAGAAGCATTTTGACATGAGTACATGAAACTGGAAAGGCTGAATAGAACCGGTGGTTCTACAGCCGTGGTTTGAGTTCTGACAGAGACGCCAAGATTAGAGTTAAGGTGCAAATCATCTCCACAGATGTGGGTAATAGTCAACTTCAACTGTGAGTGAAATGTAGGCCGTTTATACAATACAGGTGGTGTCTAAGGTTCAGAAAGAGTGCTTTTCCCGTTTCCAATCTGAGGTAGACAGAACAAAACTGATGAAACGTTGAAAGGAAAACAGCCGTTTGACAGTTTGTAGCAGACGTGGAAAAGCGTAAAGGGCTAATTTGGACGAGCCTGACCGCTTGTCACCATGTCAGATCTGCGGTTACAGCTTTCAGTGTTATGTCATCTCTTTCTGCCAGAGTTGGAGCAATTGCACTAAAGATCACACCAACATGTGTGTCATAAAATACAAATGAGAAGCAATTAGGTTGCAGTGACAGCTGCACCTGAATGCAACACCACTGAATCCTACTATGCCTCAAACACCCGAGCCTCCAACAATCTCCAACAGTTACAATAGCAGAAAACTACACCCAAACTGGGTGGTCACCAATGAATGAAGTCAGTGTCCACAAGGTAAACTCAACTGAACATGTCCCAGAATCCACCAGAGGTGGAGACAAAGTGGAAAAAACAAAACCAGCAGCAGCAGCAGCCAGGTCTGTCAGTCGCATTTATGAGTTGAAGTATTTATTGTCAGCTGTTCAAAGTTTTATTGAAACAGTCACCACTGCTTTAGTAGCATTAGTCTTGTTGACTATCAAACCAGGAGAAGGTGGGAACAGGTGCTGAGTCAGTGGCACTGACCAAAGATCGAGTGTCTGAGATTACCTGTGGTAGGACGCTGAGGGTGCTGCAAGCCAACTGGGACACAGCCATCACAGTGACAGCTCTCGTTCTTTCCCTTTTCTCTTCCTCACACACACACACACACAGTTTGAGCAGTAGTCAATGATTTGTGTGGATGAGAAGAAGCAGCAGGAAAAAAAATTACCCCCCCCCCACACACACAAAAACATTTCATTGACTGTGTCAACAATCCACAAAGTCAGCACAATTATTAAAAAGAAAAAGTTTAAAGGAGATTTGTCAAATCATCACGGTCTTGATAAACTGTTGCTGTAATTTAAAACTCAAAGAGACAAAATACTGAGCTGTGAAAAGCAAACTCTTTCATCGTGTCTGGAATACCGCTCAGACATTCTTTGGCCATAAAAAAGCAGAACCAATTGAATCAGACTCACGCTGCCCCCCGAAGGAAACACGAAGGAAGCGATGGAAAAATTGAAGACAAACACTGACAGGTGACGTCTTTTACGTGCTTTTAAGGTCGAAGGTGTTTTCAACCCCCACTGCTGTGGAATACTGTTCTGTACATGATCCTTGATATTAACCTTCGTGACTATTTCTGTTGTTTAAAATATTAAATTAAAACTGAAGGTTGTGGTAGACCTTTGGTGTATTTACACTTAAAAAGACCAGATATCAGTTTTTACAGACACAAATGCATTCAAAAGCCAAACGTCACACACACACAGCAGATGGGAGTACGTTAGCGTAAGTAAATAATTTACAAAAATACTTTAAAACTATCTCACTCTTGCCGTTCATGTTGATGCGTTTTCTTAATCGATTCGACGAATACGCTCTGTTCGCAGAGAAAAGAAAAATAGTTACATTTTAGTTACAGATATGTTAAAAAAAGAGGGAAGCAGTCATTTTCCTGGTTACTCCCACGTCACCCCCTCTCTCTCCCCCCTACTTCGCTCTGACAGTCCAACCTCGCACCGCCTAAAGACATACGGTTCTACCACACACACACTGGTTTGATGAGGACAGTGATAGCAGATGTGAGCGTGGACACAGAGCAGGACGGCTGTGGACCTGTCTCTCTGCTCTCCAGCGGTCCACAGAAGTAGCAAAGGCACAAAAACAGATAAAGACATTCCCGGCCAACTCCGCCTCATCATGTCACAGGGCTCTGCATCACATCAGTGACTTCTGATGGTCACGTGCAGAAAGAAGTCTGTCCTGGATAGTGCACATTAAATACGACAAGGGGCTTCCTGCCTGCTGGAGTGGGAGAGGGAGAGGGAAGAGAAAGAGAAGTGGAGGGGAGGCTAAGGCAGGGCAGGGGAGGGGACGCTGGGGTGAGGAAATCATCCTTGGAGCTCTTCGAAGCATATCTCACACACTCGTACTGGCTTTTTGGAGTACGGCGTCAGGGCGTTCTTGGACGAACACTCGGCGCAGAAGATGTTTCCACAGTGTCTGCAGTGGTGCTGAATTCAACAGAGGAGGAGAGAAGCAGGTCAGACCAACCATCGGTCCATAAGTACAGGCTCAGGCGGGTGGAGGGGGTCAGGAGGGTCAGGGGTTAGGTCGTTCAAAAGTATACCAACACACAGATATGGTGACGTTTTCCTAGGACTAAATGAAACATTTCCCCTCGAAAAATGTTTGCTGACTGGAGTGAGGTACTAAATGAAAATGGGTTCCTGATGCTACTTGTCCAATGATCAGTTTTAAAACTAATTTCTTGCAGCAGATTTACCCAATGGCGTAACCCAGACATAGGCAAACTAAGGCCCAGGGGCCAGATCTGGACCGTTCAACTTTTCCAAATGATTTAATTTATTTATATTATCATTATACTTCTGCCATTTCCCTGCAATACCAACATTTCCCAATAGATGGCGTAGAATATAATTTTAACATTTTAGCCTTTATGCATGACAAGTCGTTTATATTAGTTTACACTGACTCTCCATCTATCTGCTCCTGACCCCGCCCCCCTGTTCAATTGTAGGACAATTGCAGCGGGCAAGTCAAAAGGTTTGCCCACGCCTGGCGTAACCAGACACTAGGATGAGAGAAGGAGGTATCGGATTGATTTGGTATCGGCAGATGCTCCAAGTTGCGATATCGGTACCGGACATAAAAAAGTTGTATCGAGTCATCCTTAATTATCATCGCAGGCAAACCATAGAGAAACACCTCTCTGTTTTAATGAAGAACCAGAGATTACATAAAGTCGGCCATCAGTATTTTTTTATCCACCTACTGATTGGTCTTTGACAACACTGAGCTGTTTCTGTAAAGTGCGGTGACACATCAGAAACACAGGGTGTGTTTTAGATTAGTAATGTTTACCTTTCTGACAGTGACAGTAAAACCTTTCCCACACGCCATGCAGTTCTGTACTTCGTGATCTTCGGCCCACTTCCTGGTCAGATTCTGTGACTGCTTAATCTGAAAGGAGGCACAGACACTATCAACGTCTATCTGATGCAATCAGCACTCACACATGTGCACTTTCCAAACTTTGTCGTTAGTTTTTTTTTCTTTTCTTATGTTTAGTCCCTGACCTGGAGAGACTGGTTTTCCCTGCCCAGCTCCTGCATGGCTGCTGTTGTATCGTCCAGTTTCCTCCTCAGCTCCACCACCTTGGACTGCAGCTTTTCTATCTCCCCTTCACCTTTGACACACCTGAGAAACAAGGCAGAGGTTTGTCCTCCTGTTTAGTACTGTGTTACACAGGCTTTTATCCACTGTGTTTTGTTTCAGTAATTATAAATGTAAATTTTAAATAGTACACAGGCTTGTTCCACAAGGTACAATTCTGGGGCCACATTTGTTTAATACCGAGATGTTTTGTCAGATATTCAAGAATAACAGTATAACCTTTCAACTACTGTATTTACAGGACTAAGTCACTCCAGAGTATAAGTCGCAAATCATAATAATGAAAAAAAAACCCTCACATAAGTCACTCCGGAGTATAAGGTACTGGTACACAAGCCTAGAGAGCCCTCTGGTGGTTGACAGTGTGAAAATAACGAACATGTAAATGTTCATTTGTACAGGAGTAGCAGATACTGGTACACAAGCCTAGAGTGCCCTCTGGTGGCTTGAGGTGTTCTTGTGCACATTTTCCATGCAGAGTAACATGACCACAACTTTAAGAAGTGATTAAGACCATTGGTTAAGTCAAATATATAATATCAACACAGACCGACCAGATTAAAGAGATTGCGTCAGCACACATGCCGAACAAAAACACAAACATTTTTTGACTTCCAGGTGATGTAACAATTAGCTTTTCATTAGTTTTTCAGTTTTCCAGTATTTCTTCCTCAGTTAAAACGTTCTAAAGTGTTGGTGGCTGCTTGCCATATCAATTTGCATGCACACATTTTGTCACTAGTTAGACTGTGCTTATTTTATTTAATTAAATGCCGGCCACGCCACAATAGATTAAACTAATATAATTTGTCAGAGGGAAGACTCGATAAGACACACAAAACACCTCACCTCTCCAGAAGAGCGCGTCTCTCGTCCTGGTTGTTCTGGACCGTGGCTTCCAACACTGCGATCTCTCCCCTCAGCTCATCTGACTGTTTTTCCAGTTCACCAACTCTCCTCTGGCTTCCTTGCAACTCTCTTTTTAGCGTGGCCACATTTTCATTCAGCGCCATCACCTGCATCCCCAACTTAGCTTCAGCCTCCTCCTTGAGCTTCACCTTCTCCTCCATGACTCGCTTCTCAGCCGCCTTTAACGGAAAAACGTGTACAGGTGAGTTAAAAAAAAAGGATCAACCATGAATTAAAGTAAGCATTTGGTAAATGAGTCTACCAGCTGATCCTGGACTTTCTTGTTTTGGGCCAGGAGCTGATCCTCCCTTTGGCTCCTGCTCTCCCTGGTGGTCTGGTGCTCTTTCTGCTCTTGCTCCAGTGCAACCTGTGCAGCCTCTACCTGACCCTGCAGCTCCAGCTTCTGCTGGATCAACAGCTGTTTGGTTTCTCGCAGCTCATCCAGCTCCTGAAGGAAAAATACGTTTTGAAATTATATTTAAATCAAAGATTAATTTAAAGCCTTTAATACCTGGGAAAGGCATTTTAAAATCAAGCACGCTGAATAATAACCCTGAAGAATGCGACTCTTATGACTTGAATTATATCTGATTTAAGCTGTTTATGTAAGGCCCAAACGTGTCTAAGCAACGGTGACAGGCAACAAATGTTAGATTTATTTTTTCACTAGATGGCAGCAGGTGGTTATAAAACCTATATAAAAAAAGAGAAAGTCTTATAGCTGTTGAAAAAGATCTTCATGCGTGTTTTTCTTGAATTCCTGTGAGTAGTCAGAGCTGTGTTCAACTAAACAGGGCCAGGTTTCACACTGAGTAAAATAGGAGTAAAACTAAACCAAACACTGAGGTAGAGGACTGTTATCCCAGGGACTGAAACATGGGGATCCTTTTGCTACAAGGCTTCTCTTGCCTTGTAGCACAAGGATCCCAATCAATTCTTACACTGCCTGCAGCTGTGTTTTATCTACAGACCTCCAGATTTTATCTGTACCCTGTGAAAGATTTACCATCATCTAGTTGTGGCAGGAGATGTTCTGGATTTATATCCCTCACCTACCTATTTCCTTCTAGGCTATTTTCTATCAAAACAAAACATTAAACAACAAAACTTTATGACTAAATATCCTTTTTAAGTGTGTGGACACAAAATGGCGTTCGTTATCACATTTCTTATTTATTGAAAAAAGGAAACTAACCTTATCACTCTTTTCAGTTAGTGCCTTTAAGTCGGACGTTATTTTGGCGTTTTTCTTTTCCAGGGCAGATTTAGTCGTGTTCAATTCCTCCACTTTACTCTTCTCTTTGTCCAGTTGCTCCTTTATATCATTCTGCAAAATAGCATGTAAAGCAAATTAGCATTCAGGCTGCATTTCTTATGCAAGTTCAATTCTTTCACATTTGCTTTTCTTTTTGACCTTCTGCTTCTGTAGCTCCTTCAGTCTTTCTTCCTGCTGTTGGTGCGTCTGCCTCAGTTTGCTCAGCTCCTGATCCAGTGTGTTGCAGCTCGTCTTCAGTTGCTGGATCTGAGACTCCAAACCTACTTGATGATTTTGGTTTGCAGCCAGTTCCTCCTGAACCAGACTCAGCTTCTCTTCTGACGCCTTTAGTCCAACGAAGGATCAAACGGTGCAGGAGGAATATGTAAAAAACAAAACCAGCTTCAGACTTCAGAAAGGTACAGGGTATAAATAAAGTTAATCATTTTTGCGAGCTTTTGATATTTACGAACCTTGAGGTCTTGGCGCAGAGCAGAGACTTCAGACTCTTTGCCGTAGAAGTCAGACTGAAGTTTACTGAGACTCTCCTGGGTTTGTGCCAAGGATTTCTGAAGCTCCATCACCTGGCCTTTTTCAGAGTTCAGCTCCTGGCTCATTGAAGACATCTGGGCCTTCAGTTTACTCTCCTCCTCTGCCTGCAGTCAAATACACACGTACACAAATTAATACACGATATAAATGAAATATTTGGAACATTTGTCTGTAGAGAGGAAAACACAGCTAATGTCACAGGTTAATTCTTGTGCTATGTGTTAACTTAACTAGTTCTAGACCGCATCATCTGGGCGAAACCCAGGCTTTGCGTTATCGAGTTTTCATTATTTGAGGTAAAAACCAAAATGATTCTTACCTACCGTATTTTCTGGACTATAAGTCACTCCGGAGTATAAGTCACACCAACAAACAAAATGCATAATGAAGAAGAAGAGGGCAGTGCTAGAGGGCAGCTAGAGTGCCCTCTAGTGGCTGTCAGTGTGAAAATAACAAACATCTGAAGTCACATGTCACTCACCTTCTTGACACTGACTTCTTGTAGCTCTGACACCTGGCTCTTCAGCTTTATCTTCTCTTCTTCGTAGGACCCCTGAGCTGTCTTCAGCTGTGCCTGCAGCTTCTCCAGCTCTTTCTCTTTTTTCTTTAGTGTCTCCTGAGATTTTCCCTGCTGCTGCTCTAATGAGCGAAGCTGCCCTTTCAGATTCTTCTCCACCTAGAAATCGATAAACAATGACATGTTCAGTTACTTTAAAAAAAAAAGAAGAAGAGAGATTAAATACTGACACTCACCTCCTTCAGCTGCTCCACCTGATGCTGTGATTCGTTCATTGTCTTGGCGATGGTCTCATTATTCTTCAGGAGCTCCTGTCTAGTCTTCTCATTGGACTTTTCCTGAACATTAAAATATAAACAAAGTGTGTGAGTCTCACTTCCAATGTGGTAAAGTGTCTTGTCTCTGGAGAGCATAAAACCCACCCTTTCCTCAATAGCTAATTTATGACTCTTCCTCTCTGTGTCCAGTTCACGTCGACTCTCTTTCAGAGCTTTGTTGGTTTGTCCTAGGCTCTCCTGAGTGGAGACGAGCTCCTTCCTCTGGTTCTCTTTCTCCTGTTTGACCTTTTGTAAATCTGCTGCCAGACTCTTCCCTTCTTCAGTCATCTTGTCCAGGTTCTCCTTTAGGGCAGCTTTTTCTTGCTCACAGCGCTCCAGTCGCTGCTGAGTCTCACCCAACGCTGTTGTCTTCTTCGTTAACTCATCCTGTAGTTTTGCAGCTCTTTGCATCAAACACAACGCATTGAAATGTTATTGACAGAAAAAATATAGCATCACTGAAGAAAAGAAAAAACAACTGTATATAAATATTTTTTCCAAACTATTACAGCTAATGTTTTGTAATTAGTAGAATAATGCAAAGCACCGGCATCGAAGGTAAGTAAAAATTAAAAAAAAAAAAAAATATATATTTTTATTTCTAAGGAATATATCTGATCATTTTAAACACACGTTTAGGAGGGATAGGAACCCAAAAAAATAGTTTTGTGTTGTGTCCAGATGCTCGTGAGCGTCTCTCTGTATTAACACAGCATTTACATGGTTAATTACATGCAGAAAAAGAGCGAGGTGGTTACAATCTCAAAAAGAGAGACACCCTGACTCACCCTGTTTTCTCTGTTTCCAGTGAACGATGCAGCTCCTTGGCTTTCCTTTTAACCTCTGACCCTTCCTTATGGAGCTTTTGTACTTCTTGCTGTGCCTGATCACGTGAGGCCTGCAACTCCCCGACCTGTGACTCCAATTTCTGTCCAATTAAAACACAGGAGGTCAGGAAAGCAGAATGTTTTAAGGCTCATAATCAATGCATCATCAATCGTCGACTGTTTGGCGACTGTGGAGTGAAGACTCGACACCAACCTTGTTAACACCCTCAAACTGCTCCACACGCTGCTCTGAGGCCAGCAGTTTGTCTTTGTATTCCTTCAGACTGGACTCCAGGTGTGTGCACTGCTCCTGTCTCTCCTTGAGTCTCAGAACGTGCTCCTCCTCTTTCTTCTGAACTTTAATTAGCTCCTACACATGGGGAAAAAAACGAGGTAGCATTAAGAATTGTATCAAAGTGAGAAATTCTTGGTAAAATAAGGAACAAAGAAGTACTACGTCAGCTATTTAGAGTAGATACACAGAGGCGACACACACAAACACACACACACACACACCTGTTGCTTGTCTTGCAGTGCGTGCTGAGCGGTCTCCAGACTGTTCTCCAGGTTGGCCTTCAGTGCAGCCTTGGCGGCCTCTGCAGACAGCAGCATCTCTGTCTTGGCTTTCAGCTGCAGGGAATCAGACAAGATTTCAGTTTTAAGATGCCAAAACAAAACACTGCGATGTCATCTGATGCCTGACTCTCACTTCCTCTTTACCAAGTATGAGAGCACAGCTGGCCTTCACACACAAAGGAAGTGAGTAAACAATATCTTCCTCATCCTCCATAATTGATTTTTGGATTAGCAAATGGCAGCAGGGCCATTCTTCGTCTGAATTCATGTCAAAAAATGAAGACTTTGAATACTAGCATATAAAAGGCAATTTTAGCTAAGTTAGCTAACCAGTAACAGCCCATACAGTCATTGCTAATAAATACCCTTAAAGCCTGTTTGTTGATCATTAAAGCTTCTATGTTCCATCTGAATTATTTGATAGGCTGCTATCACATGTAAAAGACCTGTGACAAACAGAAAATAAGACAAACCCAGCCAAAAGATGAGAAAAAAACGTGACTTATCGTCACCTATAGTGTCTAATTTTTTACAGCAGGTTACTCATCTGAACACATTTGCCTACTGCGACAGGTAACTCAGATGCAGCCATCATGTGGTACCTCATATTTTCAAATTTGACATTCACCTCAAACAAAGTCACATATGGAGGTCATTACATATGCAAACCTATCTACCTGAGTGTCCACCTGGGCGAGCTTCTCTTTGCTGTCTGCCAGCTGGGTGGTGAGTTCAGCCACTGAAGTCTCCAGAGTGTGGGCTCGGTCCTGGGCTGAACGCAGCAGTGTCTTCTGCTCCTGCATCTGCTCGTGCAGGTTATCCTGAGCTTGTTTGTTGCTTTCTGACTGGTTCTTCAATTTGTCGGTCAACTGCATCACCTTTGTGAGGCACAAGTTAACAAATCAATTTATAACAGATCATTGGGTTTGAATTTGTTACTTGACATTGTTTTTTGTCACCTACCTGTTCTTGCAGTGCATGGTTCTTCTCTTTGAGCTGGTTAAGCACAGCTGTCTCCCCCTCACCCGCCTGGATCTTGGCACACAAGTCTTCTCTCTCTGCCTCCAGTTGGGTCACAATGTCTTTGCTCTTCTGCAGCAGTGCCTCCAGGTTCTGGATTTTCTGGTCTTTATCACCAATCTGACGGAGCACCTGCTCCAGGTCATTCTACAAGACAAGGTGAGAACCGTTTAAGCTGGTCTCGTGGCACATACTGGGATTTTGGCTAATGTGGGCACTGACATCTCTCTATGTACATTATACAAGACAATGTAACGGCAACACAGCGCAGCCTTCATCTGCATTGGATGGATGGATGGATAGATGGATACTATAGATAGATAGATACATTTTTATTAGATAGATAGACAGATAGTTGGACAGATGGATGGATAGATGGATAGATAGATAGATAGATAGATTTTTTATGGTCCCTTGAGAGTTGCCCATGGCATCTACTGGTACCAATGCTTCAAGCTCAGATGCTCGTAACAGACCTGTGCCTCGCGGAGTTTGCCATTGGTGTTCTGCTGCAAAGCCAGGAGTTCCTGATGCTGTTGCTTTGCTTTTTCCAGCTGGTGCTGCAGGTCTGTGTTCTCACTGGTGCCCTCCTTCAGCTGAAAATGAAATCCACATTTATTTTACACTTACCCTGGTGGGTCAAAATAGTGTTGCGTCTAGTTTACACGGCTGCTGTTGCCTCTGGATACAGAGTATTTAAATGGATCGGTCACAAACAAATTCAGTTTTTATGTTGGAGCTAATAAACATGACTTCGGTCCCTGTAGTACATATGCCATTAATAAACATGACTTCGGTCCCTGTAGAACATATGCCAGGCCTGTATGTGGCGTTGAATAGGCGCTTTAGCTGTGGGATCTGTATCACGCCTTTGGGGCAGAGAACTGTGTGCTCTCTGTATACGAGTCACAGATCCCGGATCCCCAGGTGTAACAAAATAGTTCCATCTACAAATGAGAGAATATACAGGAAGCCCTGCTCTGCTGTCATCTCCCACTTTGTTTTTAGTTTTGATTTCACTCTGCATTGAAGTTAAAGTGAAAACTACTACATAAGTGACTCTTTGACAGAAGCGTTCATTATTTGTTTCCAGTGCGTTTTTAAAAACCACCATTCACACAGTGAATAAAGAAACCGTCTCGTCTCCTACCTGTTCTTCTGCGCGGGACAGTTTGAGCTGCACTTCAGCAACCTGCTGCTCACGGTCTTTCAGCTTTTCTCCAGAAAGTTGCCTCTGCTCTTTCAGGCGCCCTTGCAGTTCTCCAAGCTGTCTCTCTGCCTCCAGTAGTTTTGCATGAAGCTAGAGAGACAGAGAGAGAGAAAGAGAGAGAAAGAGAGAGCATTTTTAATATGCGTCATGAAATACTGCATTTTCACCTGTATTTGTGTCTCTTGTCGTCTTTCTCACCTGACTGATCTCAGTCTGCTGCTGAGCACCCTTGCTCTCTTTCTCTTCTCTTTGCTGTTCCAGTTGTTTCCTCTCGACCTTCAACTCTGCATGTTTCACCTCCAGTTCATTGATCTCACTCTTCAGTTTTGCCACCTCCTCATTCCTCTCCCCGAGCTCTGTTGTGGTTTTTTGCAACGAGGCCTCAGATCCTGAGATTCGAGCCTGGAGCTCCTGGACATCCATCTCTCTCTCCTTTAAGCTGTCTTGGACTTCCTTCTTGGCAGCTTTCTCAGCCATCAAGGTCCGCTCCAGTTCTTGAACCACCTTCTCCTTAGACGCCAACTTCTCAGATAGTTTCTGTTAGAATAGAAAACCACGGGACAGTAACAGGCAGGTAAGTTCATTGTGCATAAAGTGTTTGGTGGGATAAATGAAGTATAATTGTTATTAGGAATTGTCTGCGTGATTAATTAGACCCCTTTAAAACACCTAGCAACACCTGCTCTAAATTAAAACAGCTGGCATTTTAGGATCTGCAGTAATGCACGGACACCATCGCTCCATGTGACATGAGCCAGGGAGAAGAAGATACGGCTGTCAGGAGAGTGGAATCAAATGAGGTGAGGCATTTCTATTGGAGGGTTTACGATGGGGATATATATTGGTATGTGTCCACACTTGCCCTTGTGATGGTTGAGGCAGTAAAATTGGCAACAAGGTGATAAAGGACAATATGTTGCGAACAGTGGAGCATGCTGCTAATGATTGAGTGTGACAGGGCATCTGAACCCTGCAGACTGCAGGAGCAGCTGGCCAACATTAACAACCCTGTCGCTAGACTCTGATCCTCACACTGTCTCCAAAATTTTGGTCTTTCCACTTATTATTATTGACGAGCTGACTTAAATCCCACAAAAAGCACGCCTGAATCTCAGGGTGTTCATTTTTGTGCATTGCAGTGAGTGTGTTGTACTTCTCTACGTCTCACACAGAAACCCACTTTCCTGCCACAGGTTGATCATATAATCTGGCAAGAACGTCGGGCCGCCGTTCCCCAATTCCCACTGCAGCATGCAGGGCCCTATATTTGTATTTCACCCCAGTTGAACTTGTCGTTATGACCCTCGGTGCTAGTTTATATATAGCGCTCACTGTAATATTTATCAGCATTCTAAGAACGCTTGTGACAGTGGTGCATTGTGCCGAGGCCAAAAGTTAAACATAAGAAGACATTTATTAATATTACAGTAAGAGAGGGAGGGACAGAGAGACAGAGAGACACAGAGAGAGAGACAGAGAGACAGAGAGAGAGAACCTAGTCTTTTTTTATTGTAAGAACACTTCGACCATTTACATAGTACGTGTGTGTGTGTGTGTGTGTTGCTACCGGAATTTGCTGCTGCAGGTTGTTCACGTTGCTCTGAAGCTGGTGGATCTCTTGTGTGTAGACAGCTGCTTCCTGTGGACCCTTCTCCAACTCTGCTTTAAGCTGTGATATGGTCATCTGCAGTGCAACAGACGGAGAAACATCAGATTCTTTTCACCAACACGATCATGCGGTTAAACCATCAACGTTCTAACAGATCTAAAAAGTAAAAATGAAAATTAATATGAAAAATAAAAATTCCAAACAGGGCGTGTGAGTGAAGTGGAGCGGTGAGAACTGTGCACACTGCTCCTGGGATCAAGTGGCAAAATATCGGCTTATCAGATAAAAAGTTAATATTGGACATCCTTAAATATAATGTAATACTAACTAAGGGCTTTTTGTTTGTTTATTAAAATGAATTGAAATAAATGTTCGAATATATGTTTGCCTGATGTGTGGTGTTCTCTTTCACTGCAACTGCCTCACCCTGCTCCAACCTCACTCCTGCTTCACTCCACTCTCATGCTCTGATACTTTATGACCCAAAATTCAACCAAAAGAATGACAATGGCAACAAAAATCATCTGGGAAAAATAAGAAAAAAAATCAGTATCAAATTAATAAATCTAACCATTAAAAAATAATTAGTAAAAAAAAAAAAAGTAAATTAGGGGACAATTTGAAGCGATGTATTTTACCTCCCGTTTACGAATCTTGAAGAAAGTTAAGTGTTGCAGAGGAACAGAATGAAGAAGAAAAGAGAGAAAGACATGACCAGAGGTAAGTCACTATAAGACAGCAACAGACCGGTCTGCAGTGGAACCAACAGCTTTAATCAGCTGTTACACTGATTACACAGTGATGCACAACACTCAGAGGTATCCCTTTAGGGGTCGCTATAGGGGTTCACTTTGGTGATGGGTTAAAAACAGAGGTCACATTTTGTTGTGTGTGCAGTGGTGTGCTGTGTCACAATGACAAACACTTTCACTTTTCACTTTCAATATCTCCACTATCTCTCCTCAACACACGTCCAAACCATCTCCACCTCTCTTCTCTGACTTCATCTCCAAACTGCTCCACCTTAACTGTCCCTCTGCTCTGCTCATCTCTAGTCCTGTCCATCCTGGTCACTCCCAGGGAAAATCTCAGCATCTTCATCTTCTCCACCTCCATCAGTGAATCTGAATATGCTAAACATTGTTTTTTAATTTGTAAATTTTAAATTTCATATGAAGAGCTAATTACTATGCTATACAATTATGGCATTCAGTTATTATAGTCAAAACCAGAACTGAAAACTACATGAACATGCAAAATACTGGGTTACTGCTAACAAAAAAAATACATTTTTTGTTTTTTACTTTATATATATATTTTTTTATACTTTTCTAGAACAAGACCAATAAATTTAGTCGTTCATCCAAGGGCTTACACATCCGGCTTACACATCCGCCTTACACGGAGAAGGTCCTGGTTTGAGCCCCAGAGGAATTACATCCTACTCGGCCTGTTGCAGCAGAACTGCTGTTAACACCTTAATTTCCCTAATGTGGGGTTCTCATTATTATTATTTATTATCTAAGATTTTAAAACAAAGAAGCAAAATTATTTATTTTGTGCTGATGCAACCCACTGTGAAAACATTATTCTGCAAATCGAAAGACGTACATTTTTGAAGTCACTGTACCCTCACCTCTGATGTTGTGTAATTTGCCTGCAACTGCTCATAATAACTCTTGAGACGTTCAGACTCCTCTTCCCTCTCACGCGTCATTGAATCCATCAACGTCTGAACCTGCACTAACTCCTTCTTCAGCACCTCCACATCCTCCAATCCTGGTCGCTGCAGCTAGGGGGCAGAACAAAGGTCATATTTATTGACGTAGGGCAAGAGATGCTATGGTACAGTAATGATTAAGTTGAAAGAAACTTGGTCAAAAGGAAATAACTGAAAACATGAAAATGGGAAAATGCCATAACATGGTGATCTTTTCTATTCCATTTCTATGAAAGTCTAGTTGTGCAGCCTGTACCTGATCTTTTAGTATGAAACCAATAACGCTGAAAAACCATTTCATTTTTTTTAGCACTCAAAATACTAAGGTGTTCTTTATAACAGTGATTCTCAATTGGTGGGTCGTGGCGTAGTTTTCAGTGGGTCATATAACTTTTCCATGGCAAAAAAAATGTTTATAAAAAAATTAGCAGCATTACTCTATTCTCACTCAGTATGCCACGATAATAGACCTGTAATGCATGTTGACACCTGAATATCTGGCTCGATTGATTTGGCGCTGCTTGTTATTATGGGGCAATGATGATGCAGTGTAAACACAACTGTGAAATATTTTTTATTTCTCAGTGTAGGATGAGTTGATGTACCAGTTCTGTCTGTAGTTTCTCGTTTTCTTGCTTCTCTGTTTGTAGTTGCTCAGTCATTTTGGTCAGCCTCTGGTCAGCCGCCTCCCTTAAGCTTTTTTCTTCATCATATCGTGACTTTAAATCTGTCAAATCCAAGAATAATTTTAAAACACAGAAGAATACAGCTTGATGTAAATATTTTGTTAAAAACTGATACAAGAACAATGTGATCTCCTTTAACAATCAAGTGAATTATAACTGATAGACAACCTTAGTTTGATTGATTTGACTTTTAACAGTCAAGTGTTGTTAAATTGTGCAGACAAAGACTTTCTAGAGTCATGGCCAAGTACTAACCTACTATCTCTGTAGCCAGCTGGGCAGCCTTCTGCTCAAACAGGTCTTTCATTTGCTTTATGTTAAACTTTTCTGTCTCGGATTCATTTAACTTTCTTTCAAGAGCTGAGAAGGGGAAACAAAGATCTTTAGAAAATGACAGTTTTATAGTAACTGTATTTTAATCCAATAAATGCAAACCTGAATCCTCTGAGCTCATCTGTCCATCATTCTGAGAAGACCAGGGTGAGAGAAAAAATGGACAGTAAGATTAGGTCTGCCAATCATGTTTTAAATTTAGAAACAACAACAAAAACATGATGTTTTGAGATAAACATGTTAGGGTGATTACTTGCTTCAGATGCCCTTGGACCTTGTCTAACTCCTTCTTGAGCTCTCCAGAGAACCACCTCTCCTCCTAAATAGGGTAAGAACACATACATATAAAGTAAAGTCTTTAAATTAGCCCATGTTGAAACACACTTATTACAGCAGTTAAAAAAAACGTAACCACACCTTGAGAGAAGCATGTAGGTCCTGAACTTCTTGCCTAAGCATAGTAAGGTCTTCCCTAAAAAAGGAGAGCATACAGTAAAGCTATTACACACTATAAACTTTTGTGAAGATAACAGTAGCACTTTAACAAGCACCAACTCAGCGCTTGTTTTGGCTCTTGTTACAGAATATAAATGTTCCTTCTATATTTACACCAAAGTGAAATTGAAATCCCAAGACACCAATGTCATTTAGTGTCGCACAATAAACATCACCAGAATGCTCCAACTGGAAATGCTCTTCAGTTCCATTCTTCAGCTTCTTTACAGTATTAGCAGATGTGTTGTATGTGTTGGCATAGTGAGACCAGGCTCCATGTCATAACAGATGTTACTACATTATTAGCCTCACCTAGTGGGTGCCATGTGAGCTGGAAGGTCTCCAGTGTCATGGAACAGCTCATAGTGCTTGAACAGCTCCTCTGCAGAGTTATGAGACTTCATGCATTGAGGACAGATGAAGCCCTAGACGTGGACACAACCATGTGAGATTAACCAACGAGACACCTTCAATCATGCGTCCCTTCACCAGCCAGGACATGCAAACGGACAATTTCCAAATGAAAAAATTGTGTGTGTCACCTCGGATGTCTGATCATGGTTGAGATCGGTGCTGGGCTGCTCTGACTCTGCATTCTGGGAGCCCCCCTTTCCAGGAGTCTAAAGAGAAGAAATTCTGCAGTGAGTGTGCATATGTAAATGCAGTAGTATAAATCATGGGTTTTGATTGTCTGAAAAAGTCATTCTTACAACTTTTCAAATACATGTAGTAATAGTAATAAGTTACTATTTCATAACCAGGGAGTCCATTGTATAGCTAGGCCTTACTACTAGATGACAGCATGAACCTTATGCAATACCAAGGTGCATTGTAGGTTGGGCAGGAAATAAAATGAAAGATTACATGACCATTTTTCCTCTTCATTCCACAGCAAACAATGATCTCTCCAGCGTTTCTTCCACCTGCTCCCTACTCTCATCAAAGATGACAATGTCATCTGCAAAGCTCAAAGTCCACAGAGCCTCCAGTATGACCTCATCTGCCAACCTACGATTAACATAGTAAACAACAATGGGCTCAGAGCTGATCCCTGATATAACTACACTCCTACCTTGAACACACTAGTCACTCAGATAAGCACATCTAACTATTGTACGGCTTTCATCAATGATCTTGGTCAACTCTAACAGCACAGTCTGTGGTTACAAAAGACATTTCTGTCCTTTCAAGGCAATTTGTTGCACCCTATCAAGTTACTGACATTCTCATAATCCACTTTCTGATATATCTATATACTAATCATTGGTCACCGTAACACTGGATCAGTCCAGTCGAAACATCGTCTAATTATTACTGGAACCATTTTACTTAATGTAATGTATTAGATTGATAGAACTTTATTAATCCCTTGGGAGTTGCCTTGGGGAAATTAAGGATTATTATGATTAATTAAATACATATTGTGTTAATCATGAGCCGGTCGCTGTTGAGTGATTACATAAATACATTTGGGGAGTTGAATAATTTATATCTGACTGCAACATAGATTTTGACGATGTTGCCCGGGCCGAGTAAACAGACGAAAGGCAGTATGGGTAATGTAGTAGGACAATGTGAAAGCTTTCACGTTAACCTTAGTATCCTCTCGTAACCTTGTTGACAAAATGATAACTACGTTAAAATGATTGATGACAAATGAGTTGGGTTCTGAAGACCTTTCTGCAGATAATAACTTAACGTGACTCTATGACTAATGTCGGTGTTATCATGTGATAACTGGGAGATGAATTAACGTACCCCTTAGCTAGCAATCAGAAGCCAGGAAAATAAAGCAATTTAGATGCCGGTGACTTTAACAAGCAACGTCATTGCTTCCTCGACTAGAGCTGAATACGCCCAACAATAACGAATGTGTTATTCATTCGCTGAAATTCAGCAAATTGTGTCAATAAACCGTTAGCATGTCGTGGTTAGCTATGGCAAGCCCACTTAGGGAGCGCTTGTTATATAACTTCATACACGAATGGGTGGCGGCGCCGTTTCAATGCAGCAAGCAAGTCCTGTTCATTGTCAGGAAGAGCCCACCCACACACGACAAGCCGTGCAATAAAACGTATCTCTATCAATGGAAATAGACGAGAATAGGCCCTGTGTTTCCAATGAAAGCCACTCTGTCTTACTAAACAACAGCGATTAAAATGACATTTTTTATTATTGAGACTTACCATCTGAAGTATCCGTCGGAGCATGGTCACGACTCTTTGTCCAGGCACAAACCCTTTGTTGATCTACCAAAAAAAAACAAAGCTAACGTAACGGCACGACGAACACCTGACCTGGCTGAGAAAGCAGACGCGAATGGGCGGGTCAGAGAGAGGTTGGTTGAAAAGCGTGGCTATTGCAAAAAATTTATAAATTACATAATTGCTATACATTATACATATTTAAAAAACATTTTACTATAATTTCTTGACCAGAAAGAAAATCTTATCGCACAGCAATAAGACACGGTGGAGAGCAACGAGTTTCAGACAGGAAATTATTGTTGATATACAGATCTAAATATGCTTGTTGTTGCGTATTAGTGTGTTTGTTCGAATCTTACGTTGTAGGGATCAAAGGAGAGTTGATTCTAACAGAACGCATCTAGTAAGAATTACAAGGTAATGTGTTGCGTTTGAAGGATATAATTTGTTCAAACACAATTTTATAATCTAAATTTTACTTAATACAATCGACTCACTTTAGAACCATAACTATCACATCTTCTTTGCTTGTTAATGTTTGAAGCCCTTCCTTTTGCGCAGGCTGCTGTCAGGTTTAAGACTGACCCTTAGTGTTACTGCTAAAGTTTTACTGGTAAACAAAGAGAGAGGTGCACATAAAACATCTCTGTACTTAATCGTTGGTATCTCACTTTAACTGATGATCAGAATGATCACGGTTAATATATGCTGCCTATTTTCAGGATTTTTAGAAGACTTAAACAGTCAAGACACCCACTCTGTCTCTCTTTACAAAGTATTTTTATTCTTTGAATTTTGACTTTTTCTTCAGCGTATGTGGTAACACACTTTCAACTCTGGCTCATGCTGATATTTTAACCTTTAGTTAACCAGTAGTCATAAAATGAGTGGTAACGTTACTTGACATGTAAGGACATTAACACACATCAAGCCGCCCACCATTGGCAACAGGTACAAGTAGCCCCAGTTGAAAACAAAAATAGATTAAACAAACACACAAACCAAAAATCAAATGTATAATTTCTGTGTTCCCTTTAGTAGATTACCTATAAAAGGAATGAATGGCAAGTTACATGCTCATTATTGGGCCTGTGTTTGTGTACATAGTTCCTCCTCTGTCAATGTAATGTCATTAAACAGCTTGTCGACTTGATTTAAACTTTACTGTAAGATAAGAAAAAAAATCAAGTCGTTAATGATAGTAGTGGCTGGTATTTACCTTAATGTGAAATGTAATTGTTGTTTGCTTATTAAACACTTGGGAGCTTTAAAAAAAGGACATTTCAAAAGATTTGAAGCTGGTCTACTTGTGCTTTGGTTCACTAGTTTGAGTTCACCTATTCCTAAATATTAATACATTGAGAAACACCACAAAGTTACATAAGAATTAGAAGGGATAGGTTTAGGGTTATCACTACAGTGCAAAAACAGATTTACACTTTTAAAACATTTTCAAAACTTTGAAAGGAGCACATGTGGTTTATAACCCCACAAAAATGAAGCAATAAATAAACTTACCTTAAAATTAAATATACCTTAAAATTCTCAAACAATCTTTGAGCCCACTTTATGACTGACGGCATCACAGAGTACATTAAATTCTATGAGAACACCATAATGCTAGGACTACAAGTACATGGGAGTTGTTATCAGTAACAGACTGGACTGGAAATCTAACAGCGTTGCTGTGTACAAGAAGGGGATTTAGATTCAGACTTTATTTCCTGAGGAAGCTGAGATCCTTTAACGTGTGTAGCAAGAGGTTGGAGCTCTTGTATCAGTCTGTTGTTGCCAGCGCCATTTTCTTTGCAGTCGTGTGTTGGGGAAGCAGTAGCAGAGCCAGCGACACCAACAGACTCAACAAAATCATCAGGAAGGCTGGTTCTGTTCTTGGTCTAAGACTGGAGGCCTTTAAGACCGTTGTGGAGAGTATGCATGTTATGCAGTGTATCCACATTATTCACTACACCCTTACTGTCCAATGCACCTGAACTGTTCACTACACATCATGTAATATCCTGCACTACGTTCAACACTGCTTATATACATATTTATTCTATATTACTCATCTGTACATTTTATCCTTGGGACTTTTCTATCTACTTATTCATTTTTCCAATCCAGTTTATACTGCGTATCTAAACATCTTACACCCCAATTTGTCTAGCTTGTGTCTTTTGCCGCTACACTGTAATTTCCAAGCCTGGGATCAATAAAGTACATCTATTGTTCTATCAGATCAATTGGTTTGCATATGTGGAAGCCTCCTTCAGTCATGTTGTGAAGCTGTTTTCCATGTTAAACAGTATGTCTCATTGTGTCCTTCTGTCTGGAGTTGATGTTTTACTAGTTCTATCGGTTTACTAGTTCTGAGCTTTCTGTGGGGCTGAAGCTGCTTTGTGGGTCATCTGCGCCTTGTGAGCTGGTCCTACCTCTGCGAGGCTGATTACAAACAGGAATGGAGCTGGGATTGCAGGCGTTTTGTAGTCTGTGTAGGTATTCTGCATGGTCAGGCTTGTGGCACTGCAGAACACTGATCGCTTCATCAATGGTGAACCAATTCCGTTTTCTTCCTGCAAGAAGAGCAAGGAAAGCACAAGTGGTAAACACTCTAAACCACACCTGTCAAGCTCATGCTGTCAAACATTTTTATCTGATTAATTACAGGGCAGCTGTGAATTAATCACTATTAATTGTGATTTTTTTTATCAACCAAGATTTTATTGGAATTATTGGATTAACATTGAATGTTTTTCAGTCCTTTTTTAAAATACTTTGAAATTTCAATCTGTTTAATCTTCACAAATTGATTAATGCAATTAATGCATCAATTTTGACAACTGTAATTCAAATTATAGACTGTAATAACTTATACGTTTACTTTAAAATACCAATGGAAGAAATATTTGAACAACCTGAGTGGTGGTATTCAAAACACATTCTAGGTCCTGTTCTTTGTAATGGGTGAGCACAAGTGCCATACCAATGTTAACAGAATCCTCCCAGTCTTCCAGCATCTCTGTCACTATGAGAGTGTACACGTACGTCCTGTGCTTTCTGTCCTGATTATGCTGCGAAATATAGATAAAGACTTTTTGTTTAAATTTTTAAACTGTGTGAACAATACGACTTCAAATCTGAATCCTGGTATCTTACAATACTAGATGATTTCTGATAATTTAATAATTTGATGAAGGTGCAGTGCTTAACAGTCTTACCTCAAAAATCCCAAGCAGTCTGCCGAGTTTTCCCTTCACACCAGCCTGCACTCACACATTGACAATGATTACACAAATGTGTATTTTCAAATACAGCTCTAAATACATCCAATGAATCTGTCATGTTTATACCTATGTTATTTTGTATAATGTATGCCATTTAAAATGTAGTGACTAGTCTCTGATATGTTCACTCTTTTCACAGTGAATGAACTAGGATATTTTTGTTGTTTTTTAAAGATCACATTTTACTATTTTTTTGTTTATCTGTTTATCTAATTTTACATATGCTCACTACACATATGCTAAGTTCTTTATTACATGAAAATGTTTGTACTCAAACATACTCAAAACTATAACATATCAAATCTAAATATGCCTCCAAAGTGAAGTAAATCAACTATGAACCCATATCTGAAAGCAGAAGGACACTCAAACATGTTAAATCCTTCATAATACATATACATTTAACATATCTTATTCAATATTGTCGACATATTAGCTAACCAAATTGAATTTTGTCTTCTACTAAACTATTAAAACTTGATATTATGACAGTAATTTCACCCAAGTTTATCTATATACTGTTCACAGAAGTGCGGTCTGGGAAGCACTGCCTGTGGATACAGTAACTTGAACCCTTTTCCAAATGTCACTGCAACACTTTAAAGCTGTCAGCTCACTATGCAAAAGCAGTCACTAAAGCCCTACTACTTAAATATCAGTGACTCATTTACTACAACGCAGTAACAAATAAGGATCTGTCATTGAGAATTATTAAAGCAAACGAAGATTTTTACAAAGAATAAGACTAACTAACAAAACTAAAAAATATTAGTAATGAAAATAGTTAGTTGTGCCAATAACTATTACATTTCTTTTCAGTGTTCAGTTTAAAAGTGTAATAGACATTATCTCCTTTTGCCTCCTTGTTTTTGATATTCTCTGTATGAATAGAGTGGAAGTATAAAGCAATGTAGAGTTTTGAACTGGGTCAGTCTCAGGACAGGAACTATCATGGAATATAGAAATGAAGAAATGGAAATCAAATACAACTTGCACAGTACTAGATCAACAATATATAAAGACCATGTAGATTTCTTGCCAAAATGGTGTAAATGTTCATTTCTCACACCAAAGTTCACAGAGGAGACTAGCACTTTTACCTTAAGGATTGGTTACTGGCCTCAGAAATGTGTCAGTGCAGAATATAGGAACACATGCTACTCTAATACATGTCATGGCTTCAGGACCACCTGTTTTACTGCTGAAACCCCCTTTAAAATGAATGGAGACTATAAACTACTGAAGCACAAATTATACTGTATGCTATGTCAAAGTAAAGTTGTAACTTTAATGTAAACACAAAAACAAAATACAAACAAGTAAATGAAGTGTGTGAGAACAACAGAATGAGATTGAGCTTACTTAAAAATTAAGAAAGGAGAAAAACATGAAAACAAAGATCAAGTACAGTATAACCCTGTAGATCATGACAAGCTCACCTCTTCATACACCTCCCTAACAGCTGCCCCACTAGGCTCCTCTTGAGGCTCCATTCCTCCGCCAGGCACAATCCATTGATCTGGATAACGACTGCTGCTCACCAGTAGCACCTGTGATGGAGAAAGTCATTTGTCAGGTTTGTGCCGTAAGAGCGCCAAAGGCTCATTCACACATACAAGCTGTTTTATAACTACGTAAGAGCTACCACAGCCCTGTGAGAGCATTGTGATAAAATAAAATAATAAAGTGATCTTTATCTAAAAACAGTGTGTGAAACTCATATCTTATATTTTCTCCTATATCTTATATTTTGTATTTTCAGAGGAGCGCCACTACAGATGCTATCATTTGACCTTAAAGCCTATCTAGCTTTAAACGCAGGCAAGACAGAATACAGAAAAATGCAACATAGCTTTTAACTTTAATATCATAAAATGCAGATAATTGCAAGTATACGAAGGTCAAATGCTTTTTGTAAAAAAAAATGCACTCCTCAAATGTAATGTAAGCTATCTTTCTGTCAGAAGAAATCACAGAAACCAAAACATATTCATACGTAACATGTTGAAATTAGATTACTTTTTTAAAACACTAAGAGGTTAAAAAAATAATTACAACTAATTAAGTATAATAGTATAATAGTCAGTCATTGTTTGATCAAACAACGATACAATTGAGGTAAATCAGGCACGTGGACAGTTTATCATATTTGACATTTGCAAATAAAGACATTAAGAATTACAGAGAAGCTCTGCTTGGTAATAAAGCAAAGGCATTTTCTAGTAAGTACTGAAGATGCTCAGGTGTCGAAATTACTGTGCTGCGACCTCCTTACCAGTGAGCGGATTCCGGTCAAAGAATAATCAGGACACAGATGACGTTTAACTTCTTTATCGAACTTTCAGCAGACATTTATAAAGCAATACGTACACCACAACTTTCTATCGAACTCTGCCTCAGCGAGGACCTCTCTTACGAACATCAAATGAGATGCCTGATTAGAATTCACATAACCAATCAAGCTTATATGTAACATAATTAATAACAATAATATACTCAATGGCAATTTATAACAATATGTCATTCACTAATATAATAGATAGTCAATTATCATATTTTAACGCATATTTTACTTTAATAACAAAATATTTCCTGCCATTGTTTCTTCATGATTATAAAAGTAAAACCTTTGTTTTAAAAACAAACCAAATTTTTCAAGATATCACCCTTTTGAGGTTTACAAAACAACAGTTAACACTTTTAATCATTTAAATCAAGCTGCAGCTCTACAAGACTCAAACTACATGTGTACATTCAGACGGTAAAATCTGGAAAAAGATACGTGTATGTTTTGTGTTTCTATTTCTAGCTACGTTGGTTATATATTTCATTTGAGTTTTTGGTTTGGGTTTTTTTTTACTTTGAAATATCCCACAAGCAACTTTAGTGACAATTATATATTTATTTAAAATACTTAATGAGAGAATATTTAAATATGAATAACGAGTTTGTGTTCAACTCCAACCAACGTCAGAAACCGTCCATACCGTCTCCCACTATTTTTATGTGCGACAAGTGAAGTGCTGTGTGACGGATACTAGGTTTAAACTTAATTTAAAAAACAAAAAAACAACAAACTATTAAACTGTCCCGGTTTTTGGTTAAAGCAAATGTCCCTAGACTTTTGCTGCTGACAGATTCAGTTAGTCACAGTTCGAGGACAACAGACTGGACTCACCTCGTCCTCCTTTTCGTTCCTGAAGCAGAGACATGCCGCTCTTCTCTTAAACCCCTCGTCGTCGTACGTCCTGGTTTGGTTGGGTTTGCTAAACTTCATCATATGTCCCCCGGTCGTCGAAGGAAAGAAAATTTGAAGGGAAACTCCTAATTAACCCGCTGTGGTGCAATAAGCGCGCGGACGCGGGGAGCCGGCTGCAGCGGTCGGACCTGTCTAACGTTCCATCCGAGCACAGAAAACGGTCAGTTAAAGTCTAGCTGCATACTTGCCTTTCATGTTTTGCACCTGGACAGGATTCTTGTCTCACCGACATGTCTTTGTCGACCGTGTCTGTCCACAGTTTCACACAGCTGTCTCCCTGCAAGACTGTCTCTCTCTTTCTGGAATAGCTTATTGTCCACCAGCGTTTCCTCCTAATGCTGTCATACGTCGTTATTAACAACAAGCAAACAGTGAGTAGCAGAGGTTTGTATGGTAGAGCACTATTACTGCATAAACAGTAATATATGAAGTGGCTAAAATATAGTGTTCGTACTTTAAATTACCCCTAAGAATACAACTGAAACTTTACTAAGTTTATTGCATATATTTGGGTAATTTGGGTAATACAAGTTGTGCGGATGCAGTCCTACAGTAGGATTCCCACTTGTCTTTCAGAAGATTCCCAGGATGGGTTGCACCAGGAATGTCGTCGAGGCCGTCCAGCATTAAAAACTGTCCAGAATCATAATGTACACTGCCATCATGGCCACCAATGATAAAGGGACAAACTCAAAGTCATTCTTCTTCAAATATAAACCAGTGTGGAAAGTGATGCCCGAAATATGTTGCGACAGAGACAAACTAAAAAAAGCCATACCAGTAAAGTGAACTGTTGGTGCATCCAGGTTAAGAGTATAAAGATCATCCACCTAAAAACATGGACTATTAATTAAATTAGTCTAATATGTCGGACAGGGAAAACACCGATCATTATCTTTCCCTTTGATTTAATGAAAGTTATGGAAAAGAAGGTTTTAAGAATTATTTTTAACTGACCAAATGCCAGTGCATTCGTTTTAATACCTTAAACATTGTTTGTCAACCCTAAAGGCTGTATTAACTTTCTGCGGTTTTTACTGTATACGTACCGCAGCTCCCATGGCCAGCAGGCGGTGCCAAGTACACATTAGAAAGCCCTTCTTCATATTTAAAGCGTAATTGTGCATCGGAATGCCAAAATACTAGCTCGAGGCAGCATTTTAAAACGTGAACTACAGATTTCATAAATCTAGCTTCTACTATATGCGTTATCACTTGGCTCTACAGGGTCTATTTTCCACTGGTTATAAATAAATAAATATCTCGCACTTGACCAGGGGCCTTTAATGTATTTAAGGTCAAAGGCCCTCAACCGGCTTAAGAGATGGATTATGTATAATATTATTATGTATAATAATATTGAAGTGTCATAGAAGACAATTGCTGTTAGCCTGCATAGGAGTAAAAGCTGAGCCCAGATCTATTTTCATTAACAACATTTAAAATGCTGTTAGACTTGATGAAGAGTGTCAGAGATTTGTGGAGGCGTCTTAAATCAAAAGAAAGTTGTTCAAATTAAATCCTAAATCATCTTTGTTTGTGTTCATTGACAAAAGGTTGACTCCCTCACTCACTCAATTACGTAATGAACATATGCCCCCTTTATAATAGTTAGTAGTCCTCTTAGTTAACTTGCATGAATTGCATCAGTGTATCTGTTAAATACAGTGGTTTGTCTCCAAAATAATCCTACTATATCTACTGTACAAATGCTGTTTAAAATCCGTGTTCTTTTCAAAAGCCTCTTTTTTTTCTTTGAAAAGTTTAATTTTTGTAGGTTATGAAATAATCACATGACGGTAATTTTTTTATTAATAATAGATTTTATTTACAGAGAATGAAAGATTGCAGGTGAACTGTATAGCATTTGAGAGCACAAAAAAAAAATTCACTCCCAAGATTAATAGAAAGAATGAATGTACAAACAGAGACAACATTATAGCAGGAGAACCATTTAGAATAATCAAATCCCACAGCCTTATTTTGAACTTTTGATCCCATATCAGAAGTTAAACGCAGGTCCGCCCCTCGAACCTCACCACTACACTGTGGATTAAACTGTAACAGCACATTGGAAAACAAGCAGAGCCGTTAGTATGGCTGTAGTAAGACTGAACCACATATAAAAGTCTGGATATGGTAATAAAACATACACTATGCACTAAAAAAAAGGTCCATATTAGCCTAGACATGGCCAAGCTTACAGTACATCCAAGTCTACAGAGTGGTTAAAAGTTAATGAGAAAGGCTCAGTTTGTTTTACAGTCTTTTTATAATTCATTAAGCCAGATGGGAATTGAAGAGGACGCACACAGCCCTACAATGTTTGAGTCATGCTACATCATTGCAGCATGACAGAACTCTTGGTCGGTCTCTTCTAGGTGAGTGTCTAGATACAGTAAGTTAGTAGCAGTAGCTGCTCTTAAAAAACCCATAAAATTAAAAGAAAGTTTAAAACAGACAAACATAAAATATATACCTTAGTTCACCAGATCTAGTCAGTTTCTCACCTATTCCACACCTTCCCTGATACCGGACACCCTTTTACCCTCCAAGTGTACTTTAAGCAGTTGATGAAATCTCCCAGAATGGATCAAGAAAGCAACTTGAGAAGATTTTAACCTCTGCCCATGCACTGCAACAGTAGTGGGTTAGGACAAATACACGCCATTTCATGACAAGTGTTGGTTTGAATCACTGTCATAGGTTGTGTTTTCCTTTAATAATCATGTTTATTTTCTTTAATGTGTGTGTATATAAGACTGTGTCCTTTCAATGCAGATGGTAGGAAGAGGTCTTGGCAGAACATGAGGAGTTGTGTTCAGACTTGACTTCCATTTGTGTCTCATGGGCTGCTTTATATTTCGTTTTTGTTTCCCGCATAAAGCTTGGTCCATGATCTGGCTGTAAGGTGTAAACGGAAACAAAAAATAGATACATTTTAGTTTACACAGCAGAATTACAAAACACCTTCATTGGCTGCATGTAAAATATGTACAGTATCACCTGGAAAACACAAACAGAAAATCTTTTACCAAATTGTAGACATCTGACAACTCTTGTTATTATCACTCAGTGTCCAAACCTCTCATGTCCATTCCTTTTTTTTAAATTATAATAGCCAATATAAACTTATTGTTGCTCTAATACACAATAATACACACCGCTGAAGCTTAAATACCATCTCAACACCACTGTGCATTTATGGAGACTTCAATTTCAGGTCAGATGCGTAACATAGATCAGTGAGACAGACTGACACATAAACCAACATATTGTGATCTAACATATCTTGACATTTGTCCATATTAACAACTCCATCATTTGGATTAGTCACAGATAAAAAAGATGGGAAACACATACATCTATCTGTTGTAATTTTTTCTCCTATTCCTATTCCAGCAATGTACAGAATTGCGAATTAATCCACAGCTACCCTTTATTTAATCAGAATCAAACATTTAAACAATTGACAGACCTAGTTTTTTATTTTAAGGGTGTGTGTGTGTATATATATATATATATATATATATATATATATATATATATATATATATATATATATATATATATATATATATATATATATATATATATATATACTGTATATGTGTGTGAGTTGTCAGATTAAACAAACCCCTAATGTGTTTGCATGTTTTTGGACTGGCAAAGTACACTGGATGGGGAAAATAAAGAAAAAGAAAACTGATAGCAATTTAGCCAATTTCCATTTTCACATAGGCTCAAAATAAAAAAAAAGGATTTGTTAAAGTTGTATGATGATTCTGATGGTTGTTGAAGTTATTTGGTCAATTTTATAATTTTTAACCAATTTTAGAATGAAATCTATGTAATAAACAATTAGACCTAAACTGAGCTTCTCCTGTTTCACAGCAACTGCCACCAAAACGTAGAAACAATATAATATGAAGAACCCCACAGTCTTACCTGTCTGTATGGCTACAGCTTCGTTGGTCTTCCACATCTCTGCAACATCATTTGCTAGGGGATCATCAGGATTGGGTGCGCTTAGTAATGCTTGAATTGATAACAGCACTGTGCGAATTTGCAAAGCCGGTGACCATTTATCTGGTAGAAGAAGAATGTAAAGACAACAATGAAACTCAGACAAAAATGCAAATGCACAGAACAATGTCTGTGATGCAGTGGCTTCAGCAAGAACCTTGGGCTTTGGAAACTTATATATTTTTTATGGTTCCTATGGGTTAAAAGGGAGGTATACAAACATCAGCTAGAGTCATACACAAGTAATTCTCTGTGTCATTCCACTCTGCCTACCGGAAGCATATAGCAGTGTGGGGTTTTTTTTTTGCCGTGCCCACTGTTTGCGTAGACCCATTATTTATAGTAATGCAACCAAAAGACCAACCAGAATCACAGAGAACAGTGAAAATACACCAGACTAATTACTAAACTTACTCATTTAAAACAACAATAAAAAACAATTAAGCTGGTATTTGTAAAATGTGGTGCATGTGGGTTTTTTTTTCAACTGTAGTGACTTTCACTTCGATGTGTGTGAGCATGACAGGAAGCCACTTTGGTGACCCAACAGCATACCAAACGTAACAGCACGAAACGTTTAAGTCGCTGATCTTCCATGAGTTCAAGTACTGACGATGGCACAGACATTTCCTCACTCACCTTTCAAAATGTCTAGACATATTCTCCCCAGCTTGTCTACATTAGGATGGTATATTTTGGTCATGAAGCGGACTTTAGGAGCTGCCATAGGATAGTCTTCTGGTAGAAAGAGTTCAAGTTTGAATGTGCCCCCTTCGAAGGGTGAGTCCTGAGGTCCAGCAATGACTACATGAAAGTAGCGGTTGTTGCCCTCATCAGGCTCAGCCTTGATGCCTGGGACATGCTCTGCAAGCAAACGCTGAGTTTCCTACGATAGAAAAAAAAAAGGGTAGAAAGAGAATTCATACAACTCATACCTATAGGACTGCAGTAAGACAAACAAATGTTCAAATACTGTAATACATCATGTAGGAAAGACATGTTGAAATCAAGTAGCTTATTAAACAGAATTTATGAATTTTCCACTTTTTCTTGTTTTTTTATACTGTCACATGTATTGTAATGGTATTCAGACAATAACATAAAAACAATTAATATCATTAATTTAAGAAAAATCTTTTTTCCCCAAAAACTAGATACAAAGATGTTTAAAGCACAGTGAGTCAGCATAAAAATACCAGCAATTTGTAAATATTATAATAGTTTCTAAGTTGTTGTTAAATTCTGAAAACATTAAAATCCATTTAAAAAAAACTTGGGCAAACAATGAAGAAAAACCTGTGCTGCGTTATTTTTTTATTAAAACAGGGTGGAAAGAAGACAAAATTAGATGTGATTCAGTGTTGTCACTCCTAAAACACACTGTGCATGTTGTTGTCATTTATGTTTTTACTGGTGACACTGACTTACCCATCACGCCACATATTTCACTTTGGTTACTCCCTGCTTCTACAGACAACCACATGACCTACAGGAACAAGTGCATCTTCACTTTAAAAGATGACCAGGTGTTTGGCATGTGGCCTGCACACCTCAGCAGGTGGCAGATACAGTTGCTGGCTGGCCTCAATTGTAAACTACATTCAGAATCTCTGGTTTGTTTTTCTTTTCAACCCGTCCTCTACTGATTTGAACCGTAATACTCTGTTGCAATCAGTCACACAGAAAAATATAACAGGAAGTGAGGCTCGTCAAAGGCCACCACTCTCGTACACACACTTCTTTCCGAAATGCAACGGCGAGTGAGATTCCTGACATACTTCAGATAACCCACAGACAAAACCATGCAGTGAAAACACAGACGGAAAAGGGGCTCCCAGTGCCCGTCACACGCCCTGAGGACTAAAGGGTTTGGTCCATTTAGTATATTACCAGCAGCCACCTAACCCCACCATCAAACCCTCCTGTGGTTTGATGTGTGTTTCTATATCAGACACCTGGCAAACTGCTTCTATATGCTTCTGTAGCATAACTGATCTATTTTTAGTAAAACGAGCTGTCAACACATAGGCTGGATAAACTTTTTTAACAGCTAACTATTGTTAGTATACGTAACAATACAGCTAGTGAAGACTTAGCTACATAGAAGGAAATAAAGGAAAGCTTATACAATATTGTATGATGCTTTACTGTGTGTCACTGGCTAAATGGGAAAATTCTAGTTCACACAGATAGTGGGACTACTGAAAACTCACACGCCAAGTACACTTTGCTTTTGTGTAGTAGAATTGAACCTTATAATAAAAGAGAAATTATAAATATTACTAGTGTTTTAAAATCTACCTTTTAAAATCACATAATGATGGGTTCGTGTTTGAGTAAAAAGCTGTTTTAGTCTGATTCACAAATTTACCAGAAGTGCAATGTAAAGCCAAAGTGAAGTATTTGTCATTGTGACACAGCACACAACAAATTGTGAACTCTGCATTTAACCCATCACCAAAGTCAGCTAAAGCGCCACACCACAGTGGTAACTTGGGAGCTGGTGGACTCGAACCTGAAACCTTTCAGACCCAAGTCCCCTTCCCGAGTTTGCCATATTGAGTGGGTGTGTATGCAAGTTAAACAGAAATTATCTTTAAACTGCCCATGTGGCTGCCATGTTAATATATGCAGCTCTCACAATTAAACATTGCATGGACAATATATTTAATCAAATAATATGTCATGGGTGTGGCCTTCTCCTCGTGACCTGAGAAACAAACCTTTTGTCTTGTCTGAACAGGTCTGTCTCGTCTCCCCACGACATAATGTATGGTCTTTGTTGGCTGCGACCCAGATGTTTTCTTTACAGTTTCATGTTGTTTAGAATGAGATTTTGCTTATTTACTGTTGTATTATATACTAAAAACATGAGTCGCAAAGGTGGATGTATACATTTCAAACTACCTTTACCATTATATATAGTATAACATATGTCTAGCCACTGTAGTCTGATACGGATGCATTAATCCCTGTCAACCCATTCTTACACCCACCTCGCGTTGCATCACTGCAGGTTGATTTTTTTTACTGAAAGTCCAAAAAAATGCAGAGAAAGGAGAAAACAATAACAGAAACTGACCCATATATATTGAGACAACTACTCTTGAGTGAGCAGAGAGATGGTGATTTGTGCAATAACCTTAATATCGTCTCATGACTAGTGTGTAGTATCAACACATCGACACTCGGAATTTGCGAAACGCTTTAAATATACCGGTGGCGTTAGCATCGCTGACTGTTGTACACACCTGACAGGTATCGCTATAAAAAACAGCAAAATATAACAACACATTAACCGCAGCTGAACATCTGCTAACGTCTACAGCCCCACAGCGAGTAGTCGATGACACCGGTCTTCTTTGAGATTTAAAACAAAACTCAATTTGTGCAGATTTTATTTTTATACGATTACATGTGAAACTTTATTACACTTTTACCAGTACCGCCGGACAGCTAACACGCTGAGGTTTGACCAAGTTTAAATGATAAGTACTTACACAACCCGTGTAATTAACCTGTCTAAATATACCAATTTATTAATTTAAATGTAAGATTAAATGTTTAAAATCAAGAAAATTAGACTAAACACCTCACCGGGTTGCTTTGATGGTACACACGAGTCACACAAGGGTTAGCATACCGTGATTAGCCTGGGATTCAATTAGCACGATAGTCTGACTGGTACAAAGTCAAAAGCACAAGCGGGTTTATTCAGTATAGTTACCAAATAAACCCCCTGCTACAATGGAAGAACGAGGAAGTTACTTTAGCAGGGTTAAGAAAAATAACGTTGGCGAGCTCCATGCTAATGTTAGCACGGAGACCGGCGGAGCTCTAAGAGTTCACTGGGAATGTGGTTCATATCCTCCAGCAGTGTCCAAATAAACACACACGCTACTGTTAATTATTGAAAACCCCAGTACCTTCATTATTCTGCGGGGAAGTCCTGCCATTGTGTCTCAATTGCGTGTTTTCAGTTCTTCTTCTACGTATGTTTGGGAGTGTGTATCGTTGGCTCTCTCTGCAAACACACGGCTTCCGGGTCTTCTGCGTCTTCAAAGAGGAGGAAGAGAAAAACACTCTCTTCTCTACCCTCACTATGGTACTCAGCAAGAACTAAAACACACGGTACACCAGCCTCGATTTACTGCATTAGTAACAATGTAATACAATAAATATATCTATAATATTATAAATTAATAAATAAATAATTAAAATAATAAACATAATAAGTAAGTATTTCTTTGTGGGGCCTTAGCATCTATTGTTTGCCGGACAGTTAGTGTGCTGGATTGTTAGAGAAGTAGGAAGCATAGAAAATATGTCAAAGATAATGGGAGCTTTCATAAATTACAATTTCATCACACTTTTTTTTTTCATCACACAGATTATCCGTACCTTAAATAGCTACAGGCCACACGACCGCAGGTGCTTAATGCCCTGGTGATAACTGACAGGGTTCTCTTTTTGGTACTTCAATTT